TAAGCGACCTTTAAGCGACAATAAATTTGATTTTTTTTATCAATATTAACATATACTTATTTTATGGATTTGTTTGTCAAAAATGTGTTTACGATCTAGTCCACAATTATTTTAAGCGAGATGTTTTTCCAGATTTTCTTCTTATTACTTAGAACGCAGCATTTCCCAGTCGGCAATCTTTCAGTGGGAATTTTTTTTATTTTCATTACATTTGATTTTCCTTTTCCTTTTTCGCACCTTGCTGAAAAAGTGCAGTAAACTGGCATAAAAAATGTGTGAGCTTGCGACGTGTCTCTTGCAACATCATCATCATAGCCATCATCATCATCAGTAGCATCATTACCATTATGCTGATGCCATCAGCATGATTAAAAAACTTTTGCATCAGCTGAAAAATCTGCATTGATCGGGTGGGTGGGCTGTTTGGTTCAACGTCCTTTCTCTTTGGCTTGCGGCAATGCGCCGACAAAATAATTGATCCCCAATGTCTCATTTAGCCTCCACAAACATCCTCGCCCACCACCCCTCCCTGACCTTTATGCCCACTTGCTCCTTTGGCACTCACGCGAAATCAAATTGAAGTCCATAACAAGCGACTGACCGCCTCATAAAGCAATTAAGTGCATGTGGCTGACCAAGCAGCAACGTGTTGGAATACACCCAACAACAACAACGACAACAACAACAACAAAAACAACAGCAGCAACAACATGAGAATTATGCCAGCCAAGCCTGGCTGACCCTCGCTGTCCCCATTTGATGCCAGCTCTTGGATTGGGTGCTTGTGTGCGCGCGGTCAGCTTGGCTTAGTGCGGAGCACAAGTAATTCATAGCATTAATTATATTATACGACCCACAGCTGGACGAGCTGGCGCTGTGTGGAGGGCAGCAGCTAGTCCTGGCATCTGCCCCTTGAGCTGCAAGCTCAACTTGTGCTCGGCGCGCCTCTGCCCGATTGGACATATAAATTACGTTTGCTTACTTTTCGGCAACAGGCAGGAGTTTATAGCCTCATGCCCCAACTGGGCAAATATCTCTTTACTCTATTCCTCGAACATGTCTGGAATATGCATATTCTAGATTAAAAAAGAAAACGATGCGAGACTTCAAGATGAAATATCTATTATAAGATTGAAAATTGCATTCACATGAATCAAATTAACATGAGCCTTAATATTAACATGAGGTTCATTCTGATACCTGGTATATGCGGAAATATTTATATTTATTTATTTCAATTTTGACAATTTTTAATTGAAAATGATAAATGTAAGAATAATTATAAGTGTATATTTCTTACATTAAGTTATATTACATTGGCCATATATATATACAGCTATATATATATATATATGTATATATATATAATTCGCTGTATGTGCTTAGATTCACAATTGAAGCCTATTAGTGACGCTGTGAACGGATCCCAATAACTTAAATTTTGATTATTTCGAAATTCATTATTTTGATTTTATTTATACTCTTGTATATTAATTTTTATTAGTTTCCCTTTGCTCCATACATATGCAAGATCCTATTAACATTGGGCCACTTTATCATATAGTGTTTATAGGAAAGATTGATCTACAAGTAGGTTCTCATCAAAATATTCTCTCTTCTAAGATATCTTCACAATGCTCCCATGTCTGCAAAAGGGAAATTTGGCGTCCCGAAGATATCCTATTGTTGTCGTTTTTATACCCTGAACTCATTAAAAATGGGTATAAGGGTGTATTGTATTTGTGCAAAATCCATAAAGTATATATTCTTGATCAGCACCGAGTCGATCTAACCATGTCCGTCTGTCCGTATGTATGAACGCAAGGATCTCAGAACCTATTAGAGCTAGGGACTTGAAATTAGATGTAGGTCCTCCTAGTGCCTGCGCAGATCGAGTTTGTTTCCGATAATTGATAACTTACTCAGTTTCCAAGCAATCGATATCGATATCCTGTTTTTTTGGGCAATTTTGGTAAATAATAAGAGCTAGAGTCACCAAACTTGACAAATAGCTTCTAAAATAGAATATATATATCTTTTTGATGTTGGAAGAAGAGGGTTCAGGGTATCCCCTAGTCGGGAGCTCCCGACTAGAACCTCTTACTTGTTTATAGTATGTATGTTTCACAGAATTTCTCAAGATGAAATAGTTAAGGGTATGTAAATATGGGTATGTAAATATGTAGGGAATATTACAATCCAAATATTCGTTGCTTACAAATATACCCTATAAAGTAGATAATGCATAAGGTATGTCTAATACTATGCTCAGCTTAGTTAGTTTCGGCTAAGACTGTCTGTGTATTAAGCCTAAGCTTGGCATATTTGTAATGAAGTATTCAAGTATTATATTATGTCTCAATTCTCGATTGTCTATAGTAGACCCACTTGCAATGAAAACAATACAAAATGAAAGCTAACTTATTGCAATGAACAACAATTTGTAATTGTGCGAAATGAGAGCTCTAAGCCAAGCCTGGGAAAACTTTGACTTACAGATCAAACCTATAAAGCGTTGTGAACCATCCGACATTTTTGTTTTAGCCCTGGCACTGATATTAGCTAGTTCAAGTTTATTTTAATTCTGAATAATTTTGAAAACTTATAATAAATTAAATAATATAAAAACAATACAACTCCAAAAAACCAAAAACCAATTGAGAAAATAATTTATGCGCCAAAAGCAAAATAAAGTGCCACAAAAATAATAATTAATAAATGAATTTGGCCAGAAGCAGGCAAACATGGGCAGCAGTTGTTGTTGTTGTTTTTGTTGTTGTTGCTATTGTTGTTGTAATTGTTATTGTAGTGTGACAATGCGCAGATAAAAGTAATTAACGCCTATTTGGGGTCAAAGTACAGTAGAGTACGGCGGAGGGGGCAGGAGGCCGCTTCAGCTCTGGTCAATAATAGCTGCAATAAAATGTGGCAACAACAACGGCAACAACGTTTGACCGTGCAATAATTATTGACTTATTGGCCACAATGGCATTTAAGAGTCCGATGGCACCGAAAAATATTTGCATAAAATTTGCATTGACAACAGTTGAAAGCAATTGAAACAATAATTTCGTCATTAATGTGCGACAATCCGCCCAAACCGGCCACAAATCGCGGAAATGCAGCACCAAAATGCCCCACAATGTGACAGCACTCCCCTTTCCCCATCTCCCATCCCCCCATTCCTCATCCGGCGGCTGTCCACCTGCAAATGCGAATTGAAAACGTGCTTATCGGCGCGCATCAGAAGGGTGGCCTGAACCTGGAGACCCGAACCTGAACTCGTGGACCACTCGCAGGAGCAGCAGGACTCTTGGATCGCTGGCCGAGTTGCATTTTAACGCCATTACAGCCACATTGCAATTGTTTAATGCGTTTAATTACATTTGTTGGCTGGCACTTAATGTTTTTATAATTAATAGAATCAATATTGATATTGGAACAGGGTCTGCTGCCCGGGCACCGCTCCCGCCAGCCCCAAACACCGCAGCTGGACCAAACAGTTGTGGTTAATTGTAGATTAAAAATGTAGCAATGCGGTTGCATTCAATGCGTTACCCGCTTGGTCATGCAGGCGTTAATTTTCTGGTCAAACTATAGCTTCAAATGAAAATACATATACAAAATAAATACAAGTTTAAAAAAAAATAATATTCAAAAAAAAAAGTACAGTGAAACGCATTTAAGTGGAATTCAAGCAGTTGATTTTTATGTAAAGACATATTTTACAGTTATTCAACAATTATTAAAAGTACGCTTGTTATTGTTTTGTATATATACATTTTTATTGAAAAATATGCGGAATTCTAAGAAAATTTTACTTTTGCATATATCTCTATGTAGAACAGAACGCAAGCCACATTCGTTGCAGAAATTTTAATTTTTATTCAACTTTTCTTATTAAATAAATAGCACTAGCTTCTATGGCTTGCGGCCAAGGCAATACTACATCCATGCACTAGTCTGGATTATGCTATTTAAGATCTTAATTGTATTTATAAAAAAAAAAAAAAACAATGAGAAAAAAGATCTTATTTTTATTTATAAAATACAATTCTTTTATAAATATATGTGTACAGTATAATATTAACATTTCATCATAAAAATATCTACATTTCATAAAGCTAACAGAAGTTCTATATATCTGATATTTGGTATTTCGTATTTAAGTAAAATCGTGGCAATTAAAAAAAAGGGAAAATGTTGCGTCTGATATCAAGCTGATTAAAATGCACTTTTTTATTTGCATTTAAATTGTTTACCTGTAAACATTTTTATTTGTCTTTGTGCGACGCATTTAATTACAATTTGAAGAAAAAAGCGCGCAACACACATGTAGGAAGGGAGTGGGGGTGGGGGGGGGGGGGGGGGGGGGGGGGGTGTTGAGCGCAAGCATGCATGCAAAATGCAGACTGGTACGCTAAAACCACCCCACACACCCACTCGTAATCAAGTTATGTCCCTTCAAAAAAAAAAAAAAAAAAAAAATATAGTAGCGCTTTAAAATGCAAGCAGCGTAAAAGATTAGCCCGATTATTTCAGCTTGAAGGCGTTTAACTTTGCGCATTGCAACGCACACGCTGCGAGTTCAAAGGGTTTACAAATGCCACGCCACGCCACGCCATACCATCCAACAGCCCCACCCTACCGTAACCAGACAGCCCACAATGCACAACCCACAGCCCAAGGCACTTGAGTTTGATGTAGCGCAGTTCTGGGCGCTTGGCCTAAAGTCAGAAATTGCCGGGGCTTTTGGCTACGCTTTTCGTTACACGTAAAATGTTGAAAATGTAAACTTAATGCAGCGATTTGAAATTTACACATCGTTATATGAATATGAAATGATATCATATAGGACACACGGCATACCCTACAGAGAGCAGCATTTGCGAGCTAGAGGGTTGCTGCTGCTGCGCTTATCTCTGGTGGTTAGTTCTTTGCTAGCCATAAAATAAAAGATAAACGATACATCTTTTTTTTTTGGAGTTTCCTTTTCATTTTTTAATGTACGTGTGTGAGTGTGGGTGAGTGGATGTGGTGTGTGAATGTGTGTGTGGGTGTGTTTTACAGGATTATTGTGGAGGCCAAATATTAGCTAATGGTTATAATTATTTCAAATACAATTGTATTGTGTATTGAATAAGTTGATATTTCATTTCTTGCTACTGTAGATTGATGCTGATTGACACGGATTGATGAATGAATGGATGGATGGATGGATGTGCTTGTGTGCGTGAGTGTGTTTGTGTGCATGAGTGTTAGGGTGTGTGTGTGTGTGTTGAGTTTCCTGTTACAATCTCAAAATGCAACAAGAAGAAAGCTCTTGCTTTAATGTTTGCTTGCAAATAATATATATACATATATATACACATGTATGTATGAAGCATATACGCATGACATAAAAAATTGGTTTGAAATTTTGGTTGACAACGATTGAAGACACGCGACAGTGATATGTATGTGGAAAGTAACAGTAATTGAACAATTAGTTTGAAAGTATTTTTGATAAGATTCGTGTAAATGTTGAATTCGCAGCTGATTGATCGGTTCGAGTAGTCGTCCTGCTGTAACTGATAATTGATGACGATTGATATGGATGGCGAAGCATTTTGAAACGAATATTATTATTATTATAAATGGCAGTGTGTTCATGTGTTTGCTTTTTCGTTTATTCTCTCGGTATTTAATTTTCCTCTGGCTGTTGTGCAGCAGATGTGAGCTTGCTGATTGATTCACGCTCATTAGCTGTAAGTTCTTGATTGATGTTACTCTCCTTGCAGTGATCAGCAGCGTTAAAGACTTCGTTGCTGCTGCACTCATTGATATTGCCATCATTGCTGACCAACAGCTCGTTGTTGGTCATATAGACATTGGGATTTAGAATCGGATTGATATCCTCAAGTGGGATCGCCATTATGGTAGCGTTAGCTGAGGGAAAGTTCTCGTTCATGTTCATGCCATCGTGCATGTCCATCGGGGTGTAAGGCTCATTTGGATTCTTATAGGTGGAATACGGTAATATCATAGCCGTGTTCATCATGGCCACATCTGGCATTAGCTGACAGAAATTGCCGGCCATATCGGTGGACATGACATGGACATTGGACATTGAATTGCCCATTGGATTGCCAAACATATTCATGTTCATGTTCATATTAATGTTGGGCAAAAACTGAGCATAGTTTGTATTCGGACTGTAATTGTCATTCATGTCAAAGATCATAGGAGGCATATCTCCCTGGCCGTTGCCCTGCGCCATTATGAAGTGCATCATCGGCATTGTGGGCATCACTGGGCCGGTAGGCTGTAGGAATATGTTGTTAACCTGCTTCATAACCACCCGATTGGCAGTTGTCGCATCTGCGTTGCCATTCTCATCGGACTGCGGGGACTGAGCTATCGGATCACGGCGTGGATTCTCGACAATTGGAACCTCGTTCTCTCTATCTGCAGGTGGCAGTCGCAGATCCGTTGTGGTGCCCACTGCCTGTTCCACATTGCTGGTTTCTGTGTTCACCGTGATACCGACGGCGTTATCGACATTGTTATCGTTATCGTTGTCGTTATCGTTGTCATCATAGTCATCGGCCTCGCTGTCGTTGTTGCTTATTATCGACGAGCTGTAACTGGAGGATCGTGGACTCAGCGAACTGGACTGGCTGCCGGAAGAGGTGCTGGGCAAGCAACGGCGCGACTGCTGCTCGGCATGGAGCACGGGCGAGCTCGACTGACTGCCGGACGAACTGCCAGACTGTTGCTGCTGATGCTGTTGCTGTTGCTGCTGCTGCTGTTGCTGTTGATGGAGTTGTTGCTGAAGCGGCGACTGATGCGTTGAGTGTTGCTGCAGCGAATTTTGCATTTGCATCTGGCGCTGCAAGCCGGACGGGTTGGCGTGGAGTAGGGATATGTTGCTCAATGACACCTGTCCTGTTGCGGGCTGCGGCTGCTGCTGCTGCGGCTGCGGCTGTTCCATATACTGATTTGAGCTCCTGTCCGTGCTGGCATTGTCCTCGCTTTGGTGGCCGCCCGGCGGCTGCATGGCCGCGCCATACATGCCCATGTGGCGCGAACGTCCATTGCCTGCGGGGCCAAAGCGACAGGGCACGCTATAGGTATTGATGCGATAGCCATAACGAGAGCCATGCGGGCGTGGCATCTGGTGGGCATGCGGATACGGATGCGGATGCATGGGCACTGCGAATTTAGAGAGAGAAAGAAAGCCTCATCAGTTGGTCAATTTGGGCGACAACTAATTTTCGGGTAGGCAAAAACTCACCTATGGGTCTGCCCCAGAAACTTAGAGGCGCTGTGCCACATGGCGCCATCATGCGCGGTCCATTCGGTGTGGCAAAGTGTGGACCCGGATTGCCTTGTGCCCGCGGCGGTGGCGGCCCATGCAACGGCGGCGGCGGATACATGCTTATATGCATGCACCAGCAATGGTAATCGGTCTGCGTGCCCACATTCACCAACATGGGACGTGGCTGTGGGCATGGCGGTAACTAAACCAGGGCTACAAACGAAAGTTAGAGCATGAGCAGACTCACATTTATGCGGGCCAGATCCTGAGGTGTCAGGCTGTGTGGATGACAGGGCGGCAGAAGGCCGCCGTTGCCCATCCAGGGACGGGCCACGCTCTGCGGCAAAATAGAGTTTAGTATTGACTAGTAAGGCATGGCTAGTATGCTGCTAGCAGTACTTACCGAGGGAAGGAACAGACTCGGATGCAGAGGCGTCACCTCCAGAATTGCGGTCGTGTAGGCGGCCATCTGGACCTGGGTCATGTTGGCGAATCGGCCACGCAGCAAGGGCAGCATCAGGTTGTGGGCTCGTATCATCAGGTTTCGCAATGTGGCAATATATTCCGAGCTGGACAGGCTGCACTCGCTCACCTGACGGGCAAAGTCCTCAAAGGATGGAAAGTCCGCCGTTTGCGTATCGCAGCTGCTGCTGGTGCTGTTCCTGGCCTTTGGCATAGCTGTCGCTCCAGATTCCACTTTTCTATCCTCGAATGCGGCAGCCATATCCGATTTAGCTTCCGACAATGTGTTGGGCAGATTCAGCACTGACAGCGATGCATAGGAGTAGGGCACCCAGTCAACGCTCGAATCAATACTGCGCGGCTGCACAGGCTGCACCGGCTGCTGTGAAGGCGTCTGTTCCTGCTGCGGAGTAAATGCCGCCGCTTGCCACCATTCGCGTGGTGGTGCTGATGTTTGTGGCTGTGGCTGTGCCTGCGGCTGCTGCTGCTGCTCCATTTCCGTGAATCCAGCGGCCGAGCCCTGGTGCTGTTCCTTGTCCTGGCAAAGATTGTGAAATAACGGTGCCGCCTGCACTGCTGACTGCGCCATAGCTGAAGCCGTCTTCTGCTCCAGCTCTGGCCACCATTCGCTTGGCGGCGCTACCGACTGTCCCTGCGCAATTGCTTGATGCGACTGCGGCTTCGGAGGTGACAGCGGCTGTGGTGCACCAGTTGCGGGTAGTTGCTTCATGTCGTTCCAGTATGCACAGGTCGAGGGAACTGGGTGAACGTGTATCTTGGGTTCATTCTCCGGACACCACTCCGGTACGGCAGCTTCGACCAGCTCGTTTGCTGGCCACCATTCGCGCAGCGAGGGTATTATAGCACTTGCCTGTGCCGGCTGTGGTGGAAACTTTGGTGCACTACCAGCACCTCTTCCAGCTGGAACGCGTTCTTCCACATCGACAGGCTGAGCTAGCTTCTGCTCCACTTCTGGCCACCAGTCGGTGCGGGACGGTATCGTCTGAGCCACTGGCTGTGGCGCAGCTCCAGCTAAATGCGCCTCGTTCCTTGGCCACCATATTGGTAGCTGCGGTCCGGGCATCTGTCCCTGCATCTGTGCTCCGCCTGCGGCTGATGGCCCGGCCTTCTTTTCCGCTTCCCTTAAATACTCCCGAGCATGCGTTTGCGGCGTTACTGCAACTTTCTGTTGCTCCATGTCCTGCCAGGGATTGAGAACTGGTTGGGCCGTCGCTGCTGCTCCTGCTGCTGTTGCTGCCGCTGCTGCTGGCGGCGGTGGAGGTGGTGGCGGTGGCTGTGTCTGTGGCGGCTGTGCAGCAAATGCGGCGATGAGCTGTTCAATGTCCCGCCAATAATCATATGAGGTAGGCTGCTGCGGTGCCTGTGTGTGTGCTGCAAGAGCCGAGCCATTCTGCTCTATATCCCTCCAAATGTCGCGGGTCAGCGGCATCATCTGTGGCTGCGGCTTGTGTTGGTGCTGGTGCTGGTGGTGCTGGTGCTGGTGCTGCTGTTGCTGTGTTTGCTGTGTTTGCTGCTGTTGCTGTGGTGCAACCGCAGCGACTAGTTGCTCTACACCTCGCCAATATTCGGAGGATGGCGGCAGTGCATGTGCCTCCCGCCAATAGTCACCAGGCAGCGGCAGAGCGGACTGCTTGTGGGCCTGTGGTGCCACAGCAGCGGTCTGTTGTTCCATGTCCCGCCAAAAATCGAGATGCAGAGGTGCTGGCTGTGGCTGTGACTGTGATTGGGCTTGCAGTGGCACACCAGCCTCCACATCCCGCCAATACTCACGACCCGGCAGCAGTGGCTGCACGTGCTGTGCCTGCGATCCGGCTGGTGCACCCCGATCGATGTCATGCCAAAAGTCGCGGACTTGTGGTTGTGTTTCGGGTTGTGGCTGTCCTTGTGTTTCTGCTTGAGATTGTGCGGCTTGCATTGCAGCTGGGACCTGCTGCTCCATATCGGGCACAAACTGATGGGTTGGCAATATCGGCTGCATCTGCTCCCGCTGGCCCATAAAGACTGCCTGCTGTTCCATATCCCGCCAGTAATCATGGTTTGGTGGCGCCTGCTGCACTTGGATCAGCATTTGGGGCTGCATTTGGACTGGCATTTGGACTGGCATCTGGACCGGCATTTGGACGGGCATCTGAACAGGCATCTGGACCGGCATTTGGCCCGGCATATGAGGCATTTGTATATGCATTTGCGGCGGCATTAACCGCTGCACTGGCACTGGCACGCTTTGCGGATCCACCTCCGACCAGAAATCGCGGTTCGGTTGCTCGTGCCAGTTGCCGCGTGGCCGTTGATTGGGAGGATAAGTGCGGGGATTTGGAGCCACCCGAATGGTTAGATCCACTGTGCAGCCGTTCATAACGGCGCCATCGCCGAAGTCAGCTGGATACATGTGTGCCTGCATCTGGTGCGGCCCATTGTAGTTAAAGAGCTCCGTTATGGGCGGTCTGTCATAGTAGTCCTCAAGGTGTGGATCCATCGGACGTGGTGGCGGCGGGGGCAGCGATTGTGGATTGATCTGTGCTGCCTGCTCCAGAGCCAGCAAATGGGACGCATACGAGCCCATGGGATGAAAGACGGGCGCATAAGGCGACATCTGACCGCTCAAGCTACTCATCAACAGCGGCAGATCCCGTGTCGCCTCCGAGGATGGTCCCGTGGTATTCGAAACTTGGACATTACTTGCCGCCGGTAGCTCACTTACTATTTGACGAGATATTTGTCAAATCTAATTTCCAAAAAAGAATTATTAATTGCTTACTAAAGGTGGGAATGAGTCCACTTGAGATGAGACTAGCCCAGTTTGGGGACGAAGAGCCAATAGATGGATCAGTCATGGTGTTTCACACTGCTGCTGAATGGAATATTTTTAATGAATGTATATTGGTGCTTTGCGCAATGTATGTCTTGCTATTCGTCTGTGCGTCCATCCGTCCCTCCGTCCGTCCGTTTGCCTGTCCGCCAGATAAAGTGTAAGACATTTGTCAACAAATTTCACAGGTAACAAGCTGAAAACCTTCTCTAAAGATGCATCACTTTTGTAGCTACGCCCAGTTCCGTCCTCGGCCGATGTCCTCCTCTGGCCCACGCCCACCACAGCCCCCAAGAAAGGGTATTTCGTCAAGTCACAGTTTGACTGTCACTAGGGTTACAGTTTGAAAGTCACCAGCCGAATAATCAAGTGGACTCCCTTCGATTAAAGCTTTTATGCGAACAGAGTATGGTGCAGTCGGTGACACCCGACTGCCACGTTTTTGTTCATTTTTTCTGTGGATAATACTAACATGTTAGCGTGGAACTAAAGAATCCGATCTGTAAGCTTATTGGCAATTGTGGCCTGTCCTATTCGTTGAAGTCCCAATTAGGCGCTTTACAAAGATCTGTGGGTTAATAATAGTTTACTTAATTATAACACATTTTTGAATCACGCTGAAAATTATCAAATTTATCATCTATCTTTAAGAGGGGAAGACCTTTGGCGTCTTCTGTTTTGATTATTTTTCATAATTTGTGTGAATACATATATATTTTAATTATACCAAAGTAGCTGAAGGGTTGCTAGTGCCGAGAGTTGGAAAAACTAGTAACGAGGCCTGTAAAGATCTTGGCTTTGTGTTATGTGAGACGTGTCTGCTCCAGTTTAAAAGGCTTTCAACTGCACCAAACGTGCCTGGCATATTGAGGGACAACAACAAAATAAGCCCAACCCCGAGCCGGAGACTGTTTGGCAAGACGAACAATAATCTCTCCCATCCACACCGTCCCGGCCAGCAACATTTTTGCAATTATTTCAAATATTTTTCAACACGGCTTTGAAATGCGACGTGCCGACGAACACTATGCAACGAGGACCAAAGAAAAAACCCTTTTTTTTTGGCATTGTTTTTCTTTGTCTTGCGCCAAAATATTTTTCCACATTTTATGCTGCGCATATTTTTTGCCGCAGCCCTGGCGCGAAATTAGCGGCAAGTGGCTGAGGAAAGCGTGGAAAAAGGCGGCGGAGATAAACTTTAAATAAAACATGGCACACAACACGCTCGCTGCTAGGGTTAGGGAATTGGGGCTGGGTCTGTGACTGAGACGCTTGAGAAGCTTGTTTGCGTATGAGGGGATGAGCCGATGCGGGTGCCGGGGCAAACGTCGAACGCTGGCGCAGACCGCAATTCAAATAAAATCCTTTAGGGCTTTTGACTTTTAACTCATCCGTTTAACGAGCGCTCATGTTCGTGAGACGGCGAATGGCAGGCTAGCCGTATAGAGGATGGCAGGATAAAAAGATTGCCCGGGCAAGGACAATACCCTTGACACCTACACACACACACAGACTGACACACGCAAGTGAGCCCAGCACGTCGTCAGCGCAACTGCAAAACAATGCGCGAAACAGGCAAAGAAATTTTATATGCGGCATATGCGCATAACGAATGCTCTACACTTCAAAGCCACAGATGGTTCAAGGGCTTTATATATTTATATTTAATAGATCTATTAGCTCTAAAACTGGGACTTCAAGACGAGATTAGAGAGCAGCTTTCGGGGAATCCATCCCGGAAGAAGCAGACATGAGAGAAGCTGGCTACAGAACACTTGATTATAGTAAAAAAAAATCCAAGTATTTGCAGTCTAAGATTCGAGGACGAATCTTGGTTTACGTAACGAGGCATTAAGTAACCATAGTTATATATAAAATTAGTTACATCAAACAACAATGGTTTGGTGAGGGATCCTGCCAAAAAATACAAATTTAATTTTGGTTAGTCCGAATCTATCATATGAAAATATAGACAAACTGCTATATTTGCAGTAGAACAGGCAATTGTTAATAAAATATTTAAATACTTATAATTTTTAAAAGAATATGTATCTCAAGGCTTGAACCAAAATGTTCGTTTTGAATGCGGGAAAGCAGGTTCAGGGACAGAACTTAGAGGCAGGGAGTTGGTCCGAATGACAATGAATCCAGCTAATAAATATATATATTTTATTGCTTTTCGTTTCTATGCAAATTTATTTATAATTTTAAATATCTTTATAAATAATCCATATGGACATCTGCTACTAGATCTGTACATCTTTGTATTTGTAATCTTATATTTCATGTCTAGGCTTAACTATACCTCTTCTAAAGTTTTAGCTAACTGCAGCACCACGCCTCCCCTTAGAATATTTGTGTTGAGTATTTGGGAAGTCGACTTTCAGCACTTTGGCACAACAAACACACCCGCACGCACACACACACACGTTTTAACATTTTTATGAGCCTTTTTGGAGTGGAATATCTCTATAACACTGTTGTGATTGCTTTTGCGCTGCCATTGCAGGCCCCAACACCCGTTCCGACCCGCCCGCTGCCAGCTGCCCGTTGCCCCGTTCGAGCCATGAGTCGAATCGATTGATGACCGCGTCCCAAGCAGTTGGCAATTGGCAATTGGCAATTGGCAGTTGGCAGTTTGGCAATCGGCTTGCTGCCATTGCTGCTGTTGCTGGCATTTTAGAATTTGAACAATTGCCACTCGATGCGCATAATAAACGTGGTCGAATCCTGCCAAAGGATTCGCCTGACTGCGCCTGGCAAAAGGCGTCGATTGAGGCGCGTCTGCTTAAATATGCAATGAGCCAATGCATACACAATGCCCAAATCTCTAGCTGTGTGTTCCGGGTCTCCGATTGCGACATTTATTAACTGGCGAAACACACTTGTCGCGCATACGCCCCGTGGCCACGCCCGCCCTCTACGCAAAAAGTATGCTTCGTTTAATAAATTGAGCGTTTTATGCAATTTATGCGGCTGATTTGACATTAATGTGGCCCAAACAGACTCCCTCGCTCAAGCCACACCACAGCATGTGTGTGTGTGTGTGTGCTGAGCTGCGTGTGTGTTTATTTACATGTTGCCTTCTTGCGTCTTAACGGGGGGAACGCGTCTTTAGCTGCCGCTTCCGCTCGCTGCTTTTTATTTATGACAACATCTGTCGTAACAACTTGCGTGTGCGTGTGTGCCGGTGTGTGGGTGTGTCTGTGAGTGTGTTGAGGCGTTAACATCTATGCCACACACACACATCATTAATCATTTTAACGGCTCAACTCCTTTATGTGCGCCCGTGTCTTAGTTGTCAGCCACCTTGCGCTTCACTTATTCCCAAACTTTCGCTTTTTATGCCCGAAAACTTGGGCCATAAAAAAAAACAGACACACACGTACATATTCTGGGATTTGCAATGCCTCTCTTCATATATTGTATTTTATGCTGTGCCCAGTTCGCTGCACTCACCTGACAAGTTCTCCAATGGTTGCCGCCGTTCACCTGAGGTTATCCTCGGATTTGTTGCCTTCAATTCTTGCAATGTTGTAAATTTTTTTGTTATTTTTATAAATTTTAAAGATATTTTTTGTTTTTGTTTTTCTTTGTACACTGGGAAATTGTAAATAGAAATAATTTTTAATCCATGCTGCGTGACTATCTGAAGTTCGAACATGGACTACTGAGATCTAAAGGGGAAACAATCGAGGTAAAAGCAGTGTGAGTACTAATTCATGGCACAATTTACCCAGAAAGTATTCCGAATCACTCAATAACTTTCCGAATGTCCTAATTACAGTACTTGCTGAGCTTTGTCAATCTGCGAAAACAGAATATTCAATTGAGCCAAGGTTAGTTCATAAATGGCATAAAGTAAAGATACAATTCTGTGCTATCCTTAGCGTTATATATTTTTATAATAAACTATACCAATTAAATTGTATTTCACTGCCTCACTCCATATCCATAGCAGAGGTGACAACGTCACGTCCATAAATTAATATCTTTGCACAAACAGTTGGCAATGCCGCGTCGATAAATATGACCAGGTGGCAGCACTGTTTTACTTGCCAATAGGAAACATAAAATATTTATTATCAAATCAATTTTAACATAGACAACCGATAAGCTTGCCAATCTTTTCATATGCTCGACCCCAAAATATCAATAATTAGCGCTAAAATTAAACAGAGATTTCTAGCTAGTTATATGTATGGATGTACATTTATTTTTGGATATCTTCTCGCCGCCCATAACCCCACTGAACCCGTTAGGTAAAACAACGATAGCAATTCCCAGATGCCAATCAATGTCAAAGAGTTGGAGAACTCTAGACGACAATAATTCACGTATGCGAGCTAATAAATTAGTGGAAAATTCTGTTGGGGGCCATCGAAAGGATAACATGGATAACTTTTGTGCTCAACTTAATGTCACACACACAAACACACACACACACCTAGACAAATAATCAGCTGTAAATATTTTATGGATGAAATAAGCGACAAAACTTTGTCTCGCATTGTAGGGGTAGCTGCAAATATTCAATGCATCTGTGTCCCCACACTCACTCTCCCTTCATCTAAAGCTCTCTCGTTGTTATGGTGGCGCACCGATGTGGCATGCCACAGAAATTTAGCAAAATCTTTGCTCTGGCTTAGTTTTATATATGGCATAAGCTTTGCTGGTCATTTGCGGGGTCACGGGTCATCCCGCCAACAGGACGAAGCTGATGATTAAGTTGCTGACGACAATGAGGCCGACGATGCGGCTTACGATAGTAGGCAAACAAATAGAAATGAATGTCAATTGATAATCAAAATAAATGCCTAACGGGGCTCAATGAAACTGAAACTGAGAGCTTGACAGATGCACAGATCCGAGCCTGGGGGCAGGACTGAGGGTGGAATATAAATACAGATTGGTGGAAGATAAGAGGAATACCTTTATAAGAAAGGTGAGGCTAGCTGTGCAGGACAAGTGTCACAAATTGAATAAAATATGAACATATTTTATAAGTTAAAATGAGAAAATTAAATTATTAAATAAAAGTTGGGGGATCGATTTTTTATTGCTATTATAACTTTGTATATGAGGTAGACAAGTGTCTCAATTAAGTTTGTATTATGTTATAATTGAAAACAATAAAAATAAATTAAAAAAATAAAAGACTAAGAATTCGGTGCCATCCTAGGCTATTTATTTATACCCTTTATATTAAATACCCTATATATGCTATTTTTGGTCACGAAATTCTTCGAGAGGACAAGTGTAACCTGTTCGTGGTAATAGAGATCCGCTTTATTGCTATTTATACTATTGTATATGGTGTAAATATATAGTCCCAAATCGTAACGCATAGAAGAAAGGTAAGACGACTTCGTAGAATATAAGTCAATGAAGGTTCAAGTCTGTTCCTTAAAACTTTTGTCTTTCTATTGCAGTCAGCGCATATATCAGAGTCGGTCCAATTGAGCAGCTACAAGGATAGAAACCGCAATGAAGAATTAAGAAGTCCTTAATCTATCTTTAAGATTTTTTTTCCAAGTACAGGGTAGTTCTATATTTAGCTCATGTATGTATAGAAAGTCAGCCCGGCGTGGTCTGACACTCGAGAAAGGCTGGAATGCCAAACTATAATTACATGCCGGACGAGCAATGGTTGGAAGCGGGTTAGGTCTGGAGGTGAAGGTCCATGCCAGGGGGCGAGTCCTGGTCCATAAATTCATTTTGGTGTCGGCTGCACATGCAAATGTCTAAATGCCTAAATGCCTAATGAGTGAAGCTGGCAGCAAAAACAGGACACGAATGAGTCCTTAAAGATTAATTAATCTTTGTGGCACATGCGGCCGACGCTGACGCTGACGTCGACGGCGACGGCGACGTCAACGTCAACGCACAGCCAGACGCCGCTGGTGCCACAAACAACAGTTGCCTGGGGCACGCGTATCATTGTGTTTAGCTGTGTGTTAAGGGTATACTGACCATTGTCCTGCGTCCGCTCGGTTTCGGTTTTTAAGCTAATGACACAAAACGCCAAAAAGGATGCGAGTCCAGGGGGTTAATTTGCAGGCTGGGTCGGGCTCGGTCGCCTGGTCCGGCTTATCTTTTGCTTTTGAAGAAATAATTAATGACCTCGTTTTTGCCACTGTGGCCGTACTCGGGCGAGCCAGAGCATCAGGCACAGGAGCTGGAGCAGGAGCAGGCACAGACACAGGAGCTAGAGCTGGAGCTGGCGCTGAAACGGCAGCAGAAACAGGGAGCTGCACAGTGCGTGCTGGCCATTAAAAATCGTTTATTTCGATTTGATTTAATCCAAAATAGATTGCCCCTGTCGGGCGATGCGGCCAATTTATGCACTCAATTTACGCGCGCGCACACAGGACGCACCGGACACTGGACAAACTCGACGGAACTCTCCTGAATGCAGGACGTCGCTGCTGTTGCTGCAGCTTACTGTTGAAGTTGGAGCTGGGCTCTGGGCCTGGGCTGCGTATTTATAAATTTCATTGGTTAATCCTTATTTTCGCATTAAGGGAGCGCACGTGGAGGACACGGCGACGCACAGCTATGCAAATGTATGCATTGTCCTGTTGCGCTAGCACTCGATTTCCCTTTCTCACACCATCCCAGACCCGCTCCAGTCGCTCCTCATCCACACCCACTCAACGACTACTCTGGCAATTAAACTAATCGCACGCGAGGCTTAAAATGCGATTTGCGGCGTCGATTGGCAATTGCGGCTCGCATTCGCCATTGAAACATTTCAAATGTTTGCGTGGGTTAGTGAGACGGGTAGATTACGCGGGGGGTGGTTGCCCTTTTGCGCTTTGCCGCGAAATTTATTTTAGCCCAACACGTGGAAATATTCCATTTCCCCATTTGCTCGCAGCGCCGGCAAACGCCACAAATGACATTTAAACTGTTTGCATTTGGCGCCGCTGACTGCTTAGCGGTTTTTGTGGCTGTCCAAAAACGCCCTTCCGCCCCTTTCCTAAATTTGGCCCGCATCGCACCGCCCTACACAAGCCCATCGTACGCCAGAGTTCGCCGACGCCGCCTAATCCAAATGTTTAGTTACGCTTGGGCCTGAAATGTGCTCGGACAACGACAACAACAGGGTTCACTGCTTTTTCGGCTCCCCACTCAACGCCACTCGCCAATTTGCTGGCAAATACTCCGCCAAATTTAATTTTAATCTCTGATCTACGGCTTAAAGTATATATCTACTGTGGCAACTCTAGATCACGTTCCCATGCACCACGGACCTAAATTTACTTAAGGTACAGCTTAAAAAGTTCCACTAGCGTCTTACCGACTAAATAATACTAGCCCAATAACATCTTAAACGAAATCAATCATATTATTAATATTATGCACACGACTATAAGCCAGGTTTTAAATCCAAGATAAATCCAATATGGTCTTTCCACAAGAATATTAATATTATTATTATCAATAATAATATTATTATTATTATTATTTCACCCAAGTGGATTTCATGACAAATGTGAAAATACTTCCACTTCCTCAAAGATCTTTGAGTCCCGTCAGATGGTAAATAAAAATGTTGTATATAGCCGTATTCCACCAATTTTCCCCAGTTGCGCTGGAAATTCTCCAAAACGCTGTCATGTCGTGCAACACTAGCTGCGTCGTATTGCCACACTACCCATATTTAAGTGCCTTAAGTCTGGCAACTCTAGCAGAAGCTTTTCAGCTCAAAAATTGCCTGAAACGATCTGAAATACCCTGGCTTCGACTTCTTTGATTAGCAGTCTTTCCAGCTTTTGCTAAGCCTGACTTCTAATAAATTACAAAAGATGCTAATTTTGTTGTTTTGTTTTCCATTTGTCAAACTTTCACAACCAGTGTGGGTTAGAAAGCCACAAAAGTGAAACAATTTGAAAGGCTCCTTTGAAGAGTTGTCACAGGCTACAGCATGAATACAATTTTCATGTGATTAATGATGTCAACGCGACGCTGGCCACGCAAGTGGCTGCTGTCCCGGCTCATGGCCAATTCCCTGGTCGCTCTTTAGCAGAAGTCAAAAGGGAGATGTGCTTAGCTGGCAAGGCTGGCTGCCTGAGCACGAATCCGTCAAGAATGCGTCAATTTAATTGCGCACGTGACGCGCGCGGTTCATGAATGATAAAGAGAACAAGACGGCAAGGCCATGCTGCGGGTGAGTGTGATGGTGGGGTTGGGAGGGGTTTGAACTGGACTCAAGTCAGGGAATCGCTGCGGCTATGCGCCACGTGACGCTGACATCCACATTGACAGCAAGAGTTCAGGATGTGGGCGCAGTGGATTAGCCCTGGCCTCAAGGAGCCCCTCAAAGCAATGCAGCGGCTAATAACGGCCCAAAATGTTTCCAACATGCTGCGCTCAACATTTGATTTTTCGCAAATTTCATTAAGCAAGATAAATGGTTGGCTATTAACAAAAACAGCATAAGCTTAATAGTAGCAACCACAGTGGTTCCAAGCGCCGCTGTCCTGCTTTGTATTTATGCAAAAATTCGTTATGGATGCCAAACAGCGGAAGCGGAAATCGCACGCACTTTTGTTCTTTACACACACTACCATCGATGCGGCATGTTGACTATGCCAGCCAGGTCTGTTATTAGCAGCAAATTCTCTGAATTGGCGCCTTAACCAATTGGGAATTTAACTCACAAAGCGCCCAAGCATCCTTAAGCCTTTAGCTGTAGGGCGCTACCTACTTATTTCGGCATCAACAGCTGAATCGAGCCAGTATAAGCGCTAGAAAAATTCCTCAAAATCCAAACGTGCCACAAAACTTGTTACTTGACATGTCGAGCCCCAAATCGATAAATCTCGTTTTTGTAGTCTCGCACACATTAACACCCAAAATCGATATTTATCGAGCACAGAAAATAAACGTTTGTCTTGTGTCCTTTAGCGGAAGCATAATTATGTGCTATTTTGGGTATTTTTTTTGTCAGACTCTTCTTTTATTTTGGCCTCAAGCTTTTTAAGAGCATTGAATTTACTCTACAAAATATATTTAATATCGCATATCGTATATCAAATTTCTTTTGACAAATTTATCGACTGTAAATATCTGGAATGTGCATTCAGAATTCGTTGTTTGACCATTTTGAACTGCGCTTGTGGCTGGCTGTGGCTCTGGTGACATGATAAATTGCATGAAATTATTTTCAAGCTGCCAACCCCCGATGCAGGCCATGGGCTTGAACAGAAGCGCGGTGCGGGGTGGGGTGGGGCAGGTTAGGCTGCATATCTCGACGATATCAGCGGTATCTGTAAAATGGTATACTTAAAAGTTAATTGTAGCTGAGAGCTAAAACTTTTTGGCGGAGCCTCACGAATTTGAAATTTATTCAAATTTCGTATACAAAATGCGACATGTTGTAATTCTCCAAGCAATTGTTTGTTGTCGCTTGTTCGTGTTTGTTGTTTTTGTTGCTGTCGTTGTTTGTCTTCTTCTTGTTGTTGTTATTGTTGTTGTTGTTGTTGATGTCGTTGTGCTTATCTGGCCCGCATTTTGTTTGCTTGCCAATTTTTGGTAACTTTAAGATTTATCGCATTGTAGCTACAGAGTCTGATGAATGCGACGTTGTGTTAACCAAATCCGAAACGCGAATTGCGACAGCTGCTGCTGGCTGGAGAAGCTAACCGACTGGGCTGAGGCTGAGGTTGAGGTTGGCTTTCGACTGGGCCTGGCAAATTGGTCATTAACTGAAGCACGGTCAGACACAGCAACGAGCGAGGCAGACAGATGGAACGCAACGATAGATGATGGCAGGACATGGCGGCAGGACATTTTAATTTGTTCTGTCAACGACAGACGTTGACCGCAGCGTTGCAGTTGCAGCCAAAACTGATTTGGGCAGCCGCACCTGAAGCACAGCAAGCCCCCAACACCCCTCCCCACCTACACACACACCCGCAAACACCCTCACGCTGTGAAAGGACACGTTGTTGATTTCTAATTTCACGCTGCGTTGTGTGAAAATCAACACCGTCCAACACAGTCACATCAGGGTTCCGGTTTTCCGATTTTCCACGTTTTCACGTCGATGGAAATCGAAAACGCCGCCCGCAGAAAAATGCAGCTAATGAAGCCTAAGCGCTTAGCGCAGCCCACTTTCCGCAGGCTCTCCAAACCACCCAGAAATGCAAATGGATTTGCAATTTGGCTAAGCACCTTAGGGGCAGAGGGTGCATAATGAAAGGGCGTCTATTTCACAGAAAAAGATTCCAATTAGGCAAAATCCTTTACTCTTAGCCAATATCAAGTGGCATTTAGTCAAGAGCCACAGGGTTCAGGGTAAGGACAATATGTATATATAGTCGGAAAGGAGACAGCCGAGCAGCAGGGGGATGACTTTTGTTTGAGACTGGAAACCTTCCGTTGAAATACTGTTCCAGTTAATACTGGACATTCAGAATGTCGAGGCATTTGTAAGGCAGCTTTAAGAAACAAAATCAGATTTCTAGGTTAGCACATCGCAAGTCCTTGCCATCCCTCCCCCAAAAAATATGTAACTGATGCAGCTAATAATAAATAGCAAATGAGAAATAATGGAGCAACAGGACGCCCGTTCGGGACTCACCCCACAATGCTCCAAGAATATAACAGCAATTATAAGTTTGGATGGTCAATCCACCTCGCAGAGCCCTTTGTCAATCAGAAATTCTATGTATATATCCAATAATAATCAACGCACCTACACTTTCACAATTTGTTCGCAAAATTTTTTAAGAAAATTTATGTTTTGAATTTTTTAGATTGATTTTTTTTGTGATGTGTTCACTATGAGATTGTAACTAAAAGTGAAGTTTTCATGTCGAATTTGCTCTGAAATCATTTCCGAAACACAACGAAAGCCTGCTACGATAGAAATGAACACGAAAACAGCAAAGCAATTTGAATCAGCTGATTTGTGGAATTGATCTTCTGGTTCTAAGGAATCGTAACCAAATTAGCCGAAAAATATGCGCCTCAATGACAGAGATCTGATCGTTTTTCGAACAAGTAGTTATTTTTCTTCCAACGATACTTTGGCATAGCAGTTTTGAGAGCTTGTCCTGTCCAACGTCTCGTTACTTTGTCTTCTTCTTCGACGCACAGTAACGAGTCACGGCCAGCGCTCATCTCTAGCCTGCAGAAGATGGGCATCACTGTGTGTCCTCTTTTGCTAGCTATATTCAAGAGTTGTGCACGTGCTTCTTGGCAAAAGTCTTTCACGGTGGTTATTTCGTGTTCGCTGCCGAGAAATCAAAAGCCTTGAACAAAAATGAGCAATATTAAGGAGGAAATTGAGACAGCTACCGAGGCAGCCGAGGAAATCGAACTTATGAATATTCCAGACAGGTAAAGCAAATATCATATTGATATCAAATTTGTTGTCGTCTACAAATCAACGTGGTTCTTTTTGCAGCTCCGAGGAAAGCAACAGCAACAAGAATCTGGAGGATGACTTCGAGATGACGTCCAGCGATGACGAGCTGGAGACCAGCTTGTTGCAGCTTGTGCGCAAAAAGAATCAAAATATGCAGGTACGATTGAATTAGTTCAACGCTAACAAAATGCTTTTTATGTTTGTTTTCTTTTTTTTTTTATAATTTTATTTAGGACATTTGCAGCGAGTGGATTCAGCTCTACGTAACCAAGCCGGAAGCGGCGCTCATTAAGTTCATGCAGTTCGTCTTGGAGGCCAGCGGCAGCGGCTATCAAATACCCGAGGATTCAAATCTTCCATTGAAGAGTGCCAAAATTCTAAACGCGGCCAATGGCCAATTCGAAAACGTAAGCTGTTTTACTGTATAACATAGTTCCTACTAGAAAATATTTTCATATACTGGAAATATTCTTCTTGAAATTCTTTCATATCTGATAAAAGCTTCATTTAATTAATCAGGTTTTTAGCTGGCGGTAATTTAGAACTTTAGTTAACTCATTTATTAGTAGCAACTATTTAACAAGGCTTTTCTAGGGCAATGACATTTAAGATTTCAATTGCAATTCTTAAATGGAATTGATAAAGATATTTGAATTATTTTTTTAACTGCTTTTAATTGAAGCTGATAAATTTTATCACTTTAAAACTGTATCTATATTAAAAAATTTGTGAGATCATAATTTTTAAAAAGTATATAATATTTTTCTAAGATTTTGTTCACTTCTTTTTAGTTGTAAGTAAATTGAACTATTTTTAAAGCTATAATTTTGAACGGCTATGAAATTTGCTCCCAATATTTGTTCACTTACTTAGAAAAGGATTTATTTTTAAGTGAAATAAATAACTTGTATAGAGTATAATCTATTGCTGATAATCCCAAATCTTAAAATTTATACTTAGTATGAAATCTTTATTCTCATATACAGAAGAGCCCTCGTTATCCGCTGATAATGCGTGCGTCGCCCGCCCTAACCATGGACGTGACCCATTTTGTACACCAGCTGCTGCACGCTGTGATAAGCACGGCTATCATATTGGATAATTGCTTTCTGAGGCACATCTCTGGCTTTTTGGTGGTCGCGTCAGATTCGGACGTGCTACCCTTGCGGCATACCAGCACCTTGATTGGTATGGAGGCACGCTTAGATCTATTCAAATACACGATCTTCGGGTACAGTACCATGTCCTTGCAGCACTCAAGATGATGACAACGCTGAGCGATCTGATGACGCTGCAGCAGGACAAGCTACGCACTCTGTGGATGCAGATGTTCGACGAGGTGTTCCTCAAGCGGAGGCGGGATGAGGTCGAGGACATACGTGCTCTGTGCATTGCCGAGTGCGGCCTTTGGCTTCACAAGTTTCCGCAGTGCTACATCAATCCGATGCAAGCTCAGCATCTGTTCGAGGCGCTGCAGGATAGCTCCCGGAAGGTGTGCGAGTCCAGCCTGAGGGCGCTCATCAATCTGCAGAAGAAGCCAAAGCTGCGGCTGAATTGCCTCCAGCTGGGCTACAAATTCCGAACGACGCTGCTGAACCTGAGCATGCGGCTCGAGTCCGAGCTGTCCGAGATGGCCATACAGCTGCTGGTACGCTACCACAGGACGATGCCGCAGCTGCTTGATGTGCAGATGATTGAGATTATTGAGCAGATGGTGTTTGCCACCAAACGGGGCGTGGCCCAGGCATCGGCGGAGTTGCTGCAGCATCGCTTTCAGCAGGCGGCCACAGAGCGTGAGCGTGTCCAGGCTCTGGTGCAGTTCTTTATGAAGTTCGAGGGACAGGAGCAAGCCGCCTATTTGGTCGACTCGTTTTATGGCCGCAGCAAAATCGTACTCGATTGGAGTACCATGGTGGATATGCTGCTGAAGCCGGAAGACCTGACCAGCCAGCAAACCTCTGTGATTATTGAGATCCTAACAATCGGCGTCAAGCAGGCGGTAACCGGCGAAATGCCGCCCGGTCGCTCGACCAATACCCTGCTGCGCCAGCCCATGCCAGATGCCAATAAGCAGGCCTCCGAGATTATATTGCCCGCGCTGGCCACACTACTGCGGCAGTATCGCATCGATTATGTGGACATCAAGAATCTGCTCGAGCTGCCGCCGCACATGATCTGCTCGCAGGCACAGGCCCAGGAGCTAATCGAGCTGATCAAATCGCTCATGTTCAAGCACAGCAATTTTGCGGTGCTGCAGAAGGGCGCCTCGGCACTGGAGCAGCTGTTCAGGCAGTGCTCAGCTCTGATGCCCAACTATCGCAAGGATCTGCTGGAGAAGGCGGTGGTCAACTACATGAAGGCAGAGAGTGCCTGGCAGCAGGCAGTTATCAGTTCACAGCATTCCCGCTTCAAAGTGTGCAACAAGCGTCTACTTGTCGCGCTGCGTCTCATCTCGGCACTCTATGAACGCTTCGACCTGCACGAGTATCAGCTGACGGACACCGTGCTGGCCAGCCTGAAGCGCGCCATTCGTGATGAGAACAAAGCACCGGAGGTTTCACTGCCCGATGAGGCTGTGCGACTGTGCTTGGAGATATACTATGTGGCCATCTGTTGGGATCTAAAGCGCGTCCAGGAAGCGGTCAGCGCTGGCAAGTATGTGGACGAGGACTGCCTCATGCTGGGCGATCACCTGGAGGAGTTTTTCCTAGCTGCCTTTTATATTATTGAATGCTCCAGCGACGCGAGCATCAGCTGCGAGGTGAGTATTAATGTTCCGCTTGGCTCTTGCTCACTGACTCCCCTCAGGCCTTCGTCTCCACCTGCGATCTTTTGGTTCTGTTCGCGGATACACTGCGTCGCAGCGGCAACAATGCGCTTCGTTCGTTGGAGTACAAGTCGTCGACATGCGAGCTACAAACGCTGGAGAACTTTGTGCTCCGGTATGTGTTTAACGGAAATGGAAGTGTCGCCAAGGCCAGCGATGTCCAAATGCTAGCCACACTCCAGAGCAAGCGCCGCGTCCTGGCCGGCTTCTGTAAGCTGGCCTTTAACAATATCATTCCCGTGTTGCGTGCCTCCGCTGTGTTCCAGTACTACGAGCAGGTGAGCAGACCAGGTTCCATCCACCCACTGTTACGCCTCCAGTAATCCATATACTCCATAGTTTCATACATCCTTCGGCGATATTCTGCATGCCACCCTGGAGCGATGCATGTCCATCAATATGATCAACTTCGGCATGGCCCTGATGCACACATGCTTGATGGTGTACAAGCGCATTCGGGCAGACCATGCAAGCCCTGCCCAGGCGGCTGACTCGGCCCAGTTCGCCAAGCTGATCAATATGGCCAGGCTTTTCGGGGATCTCTTGAGCCAGAACCTTATCAAGTCTCGTCCGGCTGTGCTTATTTTGCATCGCGCTGGCATACGTTACGCCACGGAATGGTCGAAAGATCTAACTGAGGTGCCCGCGAATCTGCTCTATTTAAAGGTGCTCAGGCAGTTTGTGCCGCAGCTGCTTGCCGAGGATATGTTGGATGTGCTCAATTATCTCGATGGCACCAGCAATATGGAGCGACCCACTAGCTGCGCCACTGGATGGGAACCACTGCTTGCCTATCGCAATAGCCTAGAGAGGGCACTAAATCAAAGCTGTCGCCGCGAGCTGGATATGTAGTGTCCAACCTTTAGAATCCCTTTTGTAACCTTCTCGTCAACACAGTTGGAAGTTGTACCGAAAACAAACGACACGAAATTCAGCACTCAAAAGTAATAAAATCTAGTATCTAGTTCTGAAACACAAACGAGAAAATCACTTCATTCTAAACGACCAATACAAGTATTCAAAATCTTAATCTTTCTCGCACCATTAATTTAGAATTACTCTTACTCTTACTCTTTTAATGGAAGAACTTAAGGAGAGCTATGATCGATTAGATTGCATGATTCATAACAAACATACCAACTACTAATAAGATTACTAAGCATTCTAATCTGCCTCCAATCTAAGTCGCACGGTTCAAATTCGGAACGGAATATAATCCTTAACCTCTTACTAGTAGTAGTTTAGAATGATGTGAAATTGGCTGACTTTTAAGAGCAATCAAACTACTCATAAAATTTCAATCTTATTCGAAGTGTCTTTTTTAAGAAATATTATCCTTAATCTCTCTTAATGGAAGGAGTAAATTGAGCAATGTTAAGATTAAATGGATAACAAGGAGCAGTCCAACTACTAAGACGAGTATTTAACATTCCAATCTTACACGCATGGCTTTTATGGAATATAATCCTTAATCTCACAATAGAAAAACTTAAGTAGAGCTAGACGGTATTCAGAAGTCCAATATAACCCGCACGGTTTTCACGAAAGATAATCCTTTCTCTCGCGCTGGAACAACTTGTGGAACTCAATCTGGCTGATCCTTAAAAGAAGAGTATCCCCAATTACCAATCTTACTCGTACGATTTGCATGCATTGTAGAGTATTAAGAATACGGAACTAACTCTGCCCTTTACTCAAACCTTCTTGAGCGTCTCTGACTGCTCACCTGGACGTGGCGTCGCCTGCTCTCTTGTGTTCTTGGTGTAATTGTGCGTTGCGGCACGCGAAATTAGACAAGCAACGCGGCGGAGGGCTATGTGAGCTGGATGGGGCGGAGGGGAGGGCTCTGGGCATAGACAATGAGCTAGGGGTTGGGGCAAGTAGATAATGAAGCGTTTGCTGGTTGGAGGCAAATGGAGTTTGAGCTGGCTCCAGGGCTCGCTAAATTACAAAAGAATGACAAACGCCCAGCAGCGGCGTCTGCCACAGCCCCTGCCCCATGGCTCCTTCGGCTGCCTCCTAGCGGCTCTCACGGGACGCCGAGAGGTGTTGCGCAAAGTTTTTGCCTTTTACACATTCAGAGTGCTGATGAGAGAAAAAGAGAGCGCGCAGGGCGGGCAGGGCGTCTATTGTTCCCCAAAGTGTTTTTATTTAGCTTGGCCAAGAAGAGTCCTGATGTATGGGCGGGGATGGTGGTGGGGGCTTTTTTCTTGCCAATGGCGCACACAGACATTTCGTTTGTTTTATTATCTTTTATTATTATCTGCGCTTTGTCTTAGTTGTTGTTCTTTATGTGCATCCATTGCTGCAGCTTATCGTTTGTTGTCGTTGTTGTTGCCACCCGCTAAATTGGCCGTTAAGATGCTAAAGATGCGGATTTTGGTGATTTAGCAAGTTGGTCGCCAGCATTTCCATTGTTGCCATTGCCATAGTTTTTGCTCGTTAACGGGGTTTTCCGGCCCCAGAAACTTGCGGCGGAAATCGCACTAATTTCGCCACCTGACGCCAAACGGCTAGCGACAAAAACCACGAGGCTTGAGTCTGAGGCATAAGGGCTCCCTACCACGCTCTCCGGCGTGTAGGTTTGGATTGAGTGCAATGCGATTTTATATAAATCAAAGCTGCATAGTACATATGACAGCTTCTTTATGCTGCCCCTGCCCCTACCCCGTTCAATTGCAACTGGTTTAGATAGCTGACGTGGCTTTTTGAATTTGAAATTTTGAAAGGGTCACACTGTCTTGTCAGTCTTTCCAACATTCCCAACATCCAAAATGAGTTATTTCAATTAATTAAATTTTTGTTCTTTAATTTTTAATTTGCCTGGCAATACTGGAGCTTTTTTTGGGAGCTGAGGTCTGCATCTTGCTCAGGTCTCATTACAATTTTCTTCCTAGTCGGTTGAAGACCTCCGTAAGTATTCCATATTTTTTTTTTCTTCTATTTTCATTATTTATTTTGTTAAATACTTCTCATAAATATATCAAAAATGCGTAGCGCAAATAAAAAATGGACTCAGGTGATAATCCAGATGATCGACAACAACAAAAACAACCAGAGCAGCAGGCTCCATCGGCCAAGCGTCGACGTCTGCGCCCGACGTTGGCTCAGCAAAACGCCGAGCTAAAAGAGAAAATGGAGCAGCTGACAGTGGAGTGCAATGCGCTGAAAACCGAGCTTGACAATGTGAAGATGGAGCTGTCGAAAACCAATTTGGAGAAGACGTTGTTGGCGACCTCATTCGAGAAGGTGGAGGGCTATTTCCGCACCCTGCTCGGTGGTGCGCCGTTCGCCAGCTTGAAGACACAGTTGGATCTTCTGCTTGAGCAAGGTCAGCAGATTCACTCTCGCTTGGCGGTGAAGAATGAGCCGCCACAACTGAAGACGATCGCAACTTTAGCCGTGTTGCAGAACCAATTGAACAAGAAGGACAAGGTCCGAGAGGAGCTGCGCATCCAGTTGCAGGAAACGGTCGCCACTATTGAGGCTCTTACTCGAGCATTCAGCCACGACCTGGCGCAGGAGTCGCAAAAGCGCGTCGATTTGGAGCTAACCCTCGACAGGATGCTGCGCACCATGGAGAACGTTATGTCCTGCTCGGTATGCCTGCTGCAGTGGACCGATGCTGGGGAACATCGGCTCGTCTCATTGCCATGCGGCCACATCTACGGCGAGAACTGCATACTGAGATCCCTCGAGCATTACCGGCACTGTCCACAATGTCGCACACCGTGCTCCAGCTCCGATGTGTGTCGCCTTTTCATCAATCTATCGGATTAACTATGTGCATACTCAGACATGCACACAATGAGACATGCAAGCATAAAGTTACACACACACGCACACATGTACATACACCTATTCATTCACACATACAGACATACGCACACAACATGGACACATAGACATACACATGCAGCCACACATACTCTCATACACTTGTACATTCAGATACGCACATACATACACGTGCATGCACACATAAACATTACATACAAATTCTGTAGAAGTACACATACATGTATGAACATAATGATTGTACATTTGTAAATATATATAGTATATACATCTATACATATACATATAAATTAGTAATAATAATAAAAAAAAGAAATTTGGTTTAAAAGTCTAGATATTCCATCTATGCGATAAGGCTTAGCATATATAATAAATAATAAAACTATTTAATTATTAATTGTTTTTTACGATATATGTGTATAAATACGTTATGAGTAGTAACTTATATTATATTGTCTTCACATGTAATTATAAGATTCGTTCAGTTCGTAACTCGTAGTGTAGCTCGAATATGTAGTCTTTGCTTAACGAGTGTGTGTCCGGGCTAAGCAGGGATACGCACCTTCCAACTCTTACCTAAAAAAGGTTAGCAATTACACAACCCAAGCTTTGAAGCTTTTTAGCGAATAACCCAACCCTTTAGCTAATTTTAGTTCCTTTTCCAAGTGTAGAATCAGTTCGTGTCTTGGCCGAAAGTGTAGCGGTCCTTGCTTAACGAATGTGTGCTCGGGCTAAGTGGAGAAACGCACCGTTTAAAGTGCGCATGGCGCAAACCGAAAAAAAATTAGCAAGTACACTTACCGCATATTTAGGTCCTTCCGAAAATTATCAAGCGCTTAAATTTATTTTCGATTAATTTACGTGTGTCAGAGCATTGATTTAAAAACTTATTGAATTTTATTCTTAATTCATCGTATAGAACATAGACTTTGCAAAGACCAAAAGATTCGTTCAGAGACTTTCGGAGTCCTTTAGCAAATTATCCAACACTAAAGCATACTTCCGTTTCAATTCCACATGTTCCAGCAGTTCGTGTCTTGGCTGACAAGTGTCACAGTCTTTGCTTAACGAATGTGTGCACCGGCTAAGCGGGGACACGCACCGTTCAGCGTCCACGTGACGCCCAACTAAAGGAGCTTAACAAGTACGCAATCCGAGCCTAAATTGCATAGCGAATCAACAAACACATGAGCTTATATCTGTTTCGTTTTCATGTTTCCAAACATAGATTTAAAAGCTTCTTGAATCTTGCTCCACAATAATCGATTGCATTTGTATTTGGTAAATATCGGCAGGAATAGCACGATTGCCTATCCTGCCTGCAATTTTTAGATATATTTCATTATTTATGGCCGATTATAAATTTTATGAATATGCATATGTGCAAACATTAACTAAATCTTCAAATTTATTATAATTATTTATTTATTGCGAACGAATATTCATATAATTATTAAATTTGAATTGAAATAAATATTAAAGATACTTAAACGTATTTTTTTTTATCTATAAATAAATACATTTAAACACAATGCAACATACTTTTTGCCACATTTCAATATCTTTTGCATGCCTAATAAACATATTTTTTGTTCAGACCAGTTTGGGCTCTCAATTTCACTCGAAACGTGGGAAATTCTAGAATTTTCATTTATTTTAATTGTCCGAGTGGCAGCCAAGGCAATCTAACGATAAGGGTTGAGCACAGGAAGCGCTTGTTGATCATTTCCTGGCGCAGCATCCGTTTCGGGATGCTTCGCATTTGCGCTGTTGCCAACGCGCGTAATGCATTTAAATTGTTTAAACAATTCATGAACAATTATAGACTTTGTGTGACTTAATGATAAAAACAAAGCAAAGCCACAGCGCACGGCACATTTTGCAATTCTCGTATTTCCGCCGTGTCGCTCGTTTCTCGGCCAGCGGAAACGCAACGTCCAAAATCGTGGGGCCCAATCGATATGCCAAAGTGTATCAAACGCCGCTGCGCCACCAATTTTGGCAGCGTTGGCTAATTAACAGCCCCCCCCCCCCCCCCCCCCCCCCACACACACACACACAAAAGCGGACGCCTATCGCATTCCAATGTGGCGACGTTTTCGCTTTGTGAATGAAACTCGAAACTAGCCCCCACACCCACAACCACAACCATACCCACACCCACTGGGCAGGGCAGGCGTACGCCCATGGCCAAAACGCTGCTGCCATCATCAATTCCATTCAATAGACGCGTTCTTGGCGCTATTTCGACTACATCAGTCGATTGGCAATCACGTTCCACAGCAACAGCAACAGCTCGACACGATTTGGATTAATGGGCACGCCCTTGCAGCCCCCTCGGCGCCCACAGCGCAGCAGCTGCTCAGCGCTTCAAGTGGTTCTTGTATTTCAATTTCTAGCGCCCGATGTTCACTTCCTTCCGCTTTCGTTTTTTTATGATCCTCCTCCACGCTTTATCAGTTTCAAGTGCAGCCCAGTTGCAGTGGCAGTGCCAGTCAGCATCTTGGGGCAGCTGTGACAATTCAGCCGCCTTCGTGTCGCATGTTTAAAATACACGAAATGAGTTGTGGCATGTGCCACAATAGCTCAGCACAGCAGTACGGTCGTGCCACATGCCACATGCCACATGGCAATTGGCATTTGCTGTGCCAGTTCCACCTTCCACTCGAGTCCGGAACGCATAAGCAAGCTGATCAACTGCCTAATGCCCTGTAATCGACCTGTTACCAAACAAACAAGTTGACCGTTTCTCATTGTTAACTTAGGATTTAGTACATGTATTTTGGAGGGAAGAATACAAGAAAACTGCTCCTTATAATATACGAAATTCACATACAGTTGGACAGATTTCTGGCTGTATAAAGCATACACAAATATTCTATTTATTATACTAACATAAATGTATTTACAAATTTGGATTTTATGCATCCAATCTTATGAAATACTAAAAAAGGGCACTAGAAATCTACGATGTATCTCGTAGTCGGTAACGTTTTACTACTGTCCCACTCTTGTGGTTTGATATGCAAAAATTGTTTGGGGATCTTGAAAATTAAATGATAAATTCACAAAATAATGTCAATTGTCATTGTCATGAAAAATTATAATGAAAACTAGGTTGCGAGATGGTTTGGCATCCCGAAACATAAACTCGAGGAAACCCTGGCTAAGACTTCTTTACAGTTGCCAGGGACTCGAGTCCAGCGTTTATACAAGGCAATTGGGATATTAGCTGCAAATCAACGAAGCTGCGCTGCCGTTTTGTCATTGGAATTAAATTAGGATCGTCTGTAGGATCGCCAGCTGTATGGCCCATGGACTATATAGCATAGAAGACCTGTTGATTCGTGGTTGGTTGCCAGCGTCGGACATGCGGGAGACTACGGGTGTTCGACGCTTCGTATTTGGTTTTCAGTTTTTGCTAATTTATGCCACGTCGCAGCTAATTAATTTCTGTTGGGCAGTCAAGACAAGGGGGCAGCATTGGCAAACCTACAGCAGCAACAACAACATCAACAGCGGCAACAACAGCAGTAGCAACAAACAAGAAAGTCTCACAGCTCGTGCATTGAATAGCCAATGGGTGTCGATTGTTGTTGTTGTGGTTGTTGCTGTTGTTTTCTTGGGATTTTCATTAGAAATGTTTGCGCGTTTTTCAGTCGGCGCATCGCCATTTTATTTTTTATTATATTATTATTTTGCCTTGGTCAAACCAAACTCGCGCTTTGATGTGCCAACAACAGCAACAACATCAACAACAACAACAACAACAACAACAACAGCAGCAGCAACAACATCGACAACAGTAACAACAATAATGTTGTTGCCTTTACAAGCATTTAATTGTGTAACTGCACAAGCTGCAAAAGCAACATTAATAAATTCAAAGGCGTTCGTCGCTTGCCATTTCCATTTTCAATGTTAATCGACAAATGCAAAATGCAAAATGGGAAAATAAAAATTTCAAATGCATTATGCAAAATGCAAATTTCGCCCATGAGAGCAACTTTGTCAGCTCCGCTGATACCAAAGATAGGGGTAGACGCGCTTGGCTTGCCTAGGCATAGTGGGCGCATATCTCTGTCTTGCTGCCCATTTCCATTTTCATTTCCATTTGCATTTCCATTTTCGTTTTCATTTCCATTGAAAGACGTTTCCTGCCTGTCGTGTTCCCGTTGCATTGCATATATATATATATATATATATATATATATATATATATATATATATATATATATATATATATATATATAAGCTGTATGGCGTATGGGCGTGGCAGATCGCGCAATTGTCACAGATTTATGGTGCCACATAAGTAGTAAGAGTGACGAATAGAGAGAGGAGGAGAGTAGCTTCTACTAAAGATGTGTATCTGGCATACTTAGAAATCGGCCTCATGCATACTATAGATTGGATAAGGAAAGGTAAAAATGTATATAGATAAATCTAAATATAAATTTATATATCCTATAACTCTTTCAAGCTCCAGGTCATTAAATAGAAAATTTAATTAAAATTAAAATAAAATTATTTATATATTGTTATTTGTATACCATTATCATCGTGCATATGATATTATTTTATACTATAGAATGCTATACGTATTATATAATAATATACTATTTTATTCTTTTTTATAGAAAGGCCCTTATCATAGAGTTTTTGAATCATATATATTTAGCTATATCCCAAAGAGCTTGATTTAACCGCAAAAAGTTAAACAAATTTAAATAAAAAATATATATATATATATATAAATGTGGTTTTAATATCTCTTCGAATATCCAACTTCATTGTCAATAGAATCTCAGTTAGAAGATCTGCTTGCGTAGATCCTTAAAGCATTAAACGCCGTCGCAGCAAGTCCAACCGGATCAGGTATATGACCATATCTAAGTGCCATGTTTATTTAGCAATTTTAAGAACATTCAATTTGTTTGCCAAATCGGATTTCCTAAAGATAAACATATAAGAAATCTGTCCTAGGTCAATCGTCAGCTCACACCTTCATAAATTTCACAAAATAAATAAATAACAAATAAGAGGCTCTAGTCGAGAGCTCTCGACTAGGGGAGACTCTGAACCATCTTCTTCCAACATCAAATGCATATATATATTATATTTTAGAAGCTATATTCCAAGTTTGGTGACTCTAGCTCTTATTATTTACCAAAATTGCCCCAAAAACATGATATCGATATCGATTTTTATCGATAGCTTGGAAACGGAGTAAGTTATCGATTATCGGAGGAAAACTCGATCTGCGCAGGCACTAGGAGGACCTACATCTAAAATTTCAAGTCTCTAGCTCTTATAGGTTCTGAGATCCTTGCGTTCATACATACGGACGGACGGAAACGTCATATCTCCGCGCGGAGTTATGTCGTTTTGGAACGTCATATCTCCGCGCGCAGCTATGTCGTTTTTGAACGTCATATCTCCGTGCGGAGTTATGTCGTTGAGAAACGTCATATCTCCGTGCGGAGTTATGTCGTTTTGGAACGTCATATCTCCGCCTGGAGTTATGTCGTTTTGGATCGTCATATCTCCTCGCGGAGTTATGTCGTTTTCGTCATATCTCCGAGCGGAGAAGCTTCCATATGCCTGTTCCATACATTTGGATTTTGCACAAATACAATATACCCTTATACCCATTTTTAATGGGTTCAGGGTATAAAAACGCAAAACATTTGCTTCCATGGAATATAATTAGACACGTTCCCTGATAGCACTTGCCATAAATATCGGCCCAAAGATTCAATTCTCAATCTTCAGGGTCGAGTTAGCTCGCACAACCCCTCTCCCCATCCGCCCCACGCAGCCGACACCCGGCCGTAAATCAATTGAAAGCCCTCAATTCACAGAATGAAAATGCCGAGCAACAAATGAAATTAAGTTGAAGCAAGTGAATTAATTCATAAAAGTTTTTATTGTTGCACACTTATAGCACTTAAAATATAAACAATTTTTCCATACAATTTTCTTTTCGATTTTTCACATTTTTATTAATGTTTCTTTTACATTTATTTGTGTGTTCGATTTTTCGGTTTTTTTTTTTTGTTTTTCTTCTCTTCTTGTTCTTGTTATTGTTATTGTTAGTTTGTATTTCATATGCGTTTTAATAATTATGAAATATTAAATATTTATAATCCTAAATGAATATTTTTGCATTTCGCTAAGAACAAATACAAAAAAAAGACATAAAATATTTATAATTAATACACGTTTAATATTTTCTCAAATACGCCTACACATAAATATATATATAATCGTATGCATGTGTGTATGTGTGTGTGTGTGTGTGTGTGTTGGCTATGGGTGAACGATATTATGCATGATATACAATATGCATGACTATATAGTAAACATATAGTAGCTGATATGCTGCCGATATTGCTTGGTTCTGTAGCACTCGTCCCGTTCGCTCGCCTCAATATTTACATTAAGTAGAAATTTGTTAATCATACGTAGATGGGTTTCTCTTATAATGCATTCATAGTGTGTAACTCTTCACTCTCACCATCTTTCACACTCTTGCTCAAAAAAAAAAAAAAAAAAAAAAAACAAAAAACTCTCTTTTATATATACAAAAACAATTTACCAATTCCGCATTTAGAATTAATGTAACGCTCAGCGTGGCAAATGGTTTGGGCAAACAGCTCCGAAGAGGAAATCAAGTTCGAGTATTTCTACATTAATTTCAATTTAATAGAGTTCCATGAGTTTCGAGACAAGTTTTCCCGACAGTTGGCTAAAAAAATTGACAAACAGTTTGAAACAAATCTCAAATTTAGTCCAGCTTGAATTGTAAAAAATATTTAACTTAAAGCAGTGTTTCACGAAAAGTCTTTTATGAGTTTTGACAAAAGGCTTTTGAAAAAGTTTGCACAAATTTTCAATTTAGACTAACCCGAATTCAGAAACAATTGCTTGTGCAAGCCGTTTGACACAACTATTTGCCAGCATGAACGTGTTGATTAATTAATAATTAATTATATTAATTAATTGCTGTGCCTTTGCATTACAAACAAGTCAACATAACATTTAAATTAAATATCAGGCAAATATATATTAATCGTACGCGTAGATAATTCTCCAAATTTTGCAAGTCCCGAGCTCCCTCAGCGTTCTCTTTGTACAGAATTGTAGCTGCTGTAGTTGCTGTTGTTGTTGCTGCTGTTGTTGTGGTTGTACTAGACGTCAACGGACACTTAAGTAGTTTCCAACAAGCTGCTGACCAGACTGCAGCATCAGCCCTTCGAGCCGGCAAAGACACCAGCTCCTAATCCGTTGCTCTCCTCGATGTAGACATTGCCCGGCTGCAGGGTTTTCAGGATGCGTCGCTCGTGATGCTTGGTATGCTTCTCCGCTAGAGTAGGACAAAATAACCGAGAGAGAAAGAGAGAATTAGAGAGAGAGAGATCAAGGCAGAGAGAGGGGTGCATGTTTGCTTGAGCTGTGTAGGCCACAAGCGTGGCTGTCAAAACTGAGTGACAGCCGTAGGCCCCATTGTATTAAAATTCTGTGCGGGCGCGTTCTCATTTGCATTTGCCATGGAATCAATTGCGATCGCATTGGATGGGCCCATTAAGCGGCTATTGTCGCCGCCAAGAGGCCGCCGCCCACGGGCTCAATGGCGAATTTAAATGCAAATTGGCAAACGCCTTGACCAAAAAGGCGCAAAAAAAAACAAAAAAAAAAAAAACAAACAAACACAAATGAAACGTAAAAAGAAATTCTTTCGTCTGTGGAATGCCATCCCGCAGCGCCTGCCCTGCCCAGTCCCAGCCCAGTGAAGTTCCAGCCCAGGCCAGCCCCCTGCCAGGCGCATCATATTGGGCTGGAACGATCTCAAGTGGTTTGACCTTTGACACACTTACCAGGCAGCAGCACATGTTGCGGCTGAAAGATGCCCGACTGCGCAGCTGACGCTGACGCCGACGTCATTGCCGAGGCGGGCAGACCGCGCAGCGCATCCGCATTGCCTATGAAGAAGGTGCCGCCATCCAGCCTCTGCACCTCGGCCAGCTTGGCCATCAGCTTCGTGGACAACTCTTCCACATCTGCAAGCATAAGAGAAAGCAAAAAAATGTACATTTTAAGTACCATCTGGAATTTGATTCAGATAAATCAAATATATGTATATGCTATACAAATCAACCAAATACATTTATAATAAATAAAATAAACTAAATTAAATAACTACTGTTGGTATTGGCAACAAGCTCTATATAATATTATGGTGGGATCAGCAGAGTCAATTAAACGCAAACAACTCTTGTTAGACCATCCCAAGATGGTTGCATAATAATTATTGACAAAAACCGGATCGCTCATGTTGTCAATCTTTTTTGAAGCTTTTTTAAATATTTTGGCCAAATACTTTCCGATTTCGACACGATATACCATTTTGGGCTCGTTAGGATCTGTACTATCGATTGGCATTCACAGAATGAAAATCTAAATTTTGAGAAAATTTGACGAAGAAGACAGTGGTTTTTTCCAAAAACGGGGTCTGTTCGAAAATCAAAACTTTTTTGAACATTTATTTTGAATATCTCAGGTAAATCGTACGGAGCCCTATTATCGATTCACAGTTAACCAAATCAACAATCCAATGGTTACATAATAATTATTGACAAAAACCGGATCGGTCATGATGTCAATCTTTTCTGATGCATTTTTTAAATATTTTGGCCAAATACTTTCCGATTTCGACACGATATACCATTTTGGGCTCGTTAGGATCTGTACTATCGATTGGCATTCACAGAATGAAAATCTAAATTTTGAGAAAATTTGACGAAGAAGACGGTCGGATTGAATATCAAAACTTTATGATGATTTATTTGATATCTCGCGTAAACCAAGTCTGGAAATCAATGAAATCAAAAAGCTGTGTAGCTTTACAACGACGAATCTCGCTATGGTTAAGAACTTAATCTCGCGTTGGATTTAGCCCTGCCGTTGTAGGAGCATATCTCTGTTGCTTTAATCGGAGTTGCTTTATTAAGAATTTCAAAAACAAGGCTTAAATCAAAGTGAAAAAATTTCGCTTGGCCGATTTTGTTGATGCAGAGAGCATTGATTATTTTGCACCATATCAGACTCAATTGTTTGCTGTAGATCAGGTCCTTTATTGCTTGATTTGCATTATAAGCTTAAACATTTATAATAAAATGCTGGCATTAGCAACCAATTGGATAAACGTTTGATTGTATTTAGCCAAAAGTAACGAAAGCTTTCCATTTGCACGTGTTCAAGGTTCAAAATTCTCTCGGATCACGTCTGCCTATACTATAGTATAATGTATGTAATTTTCGCAAGCTGTATAATATACTGTTATGGCCTTCATAAACACGGCCATAAGGCTGTTAAAATATTTATTATATTTTTGTATTCGCGCTGTCAGATCAACAATTATTACTGCCAGCCCATTCTTGATCGATGCCAGGAAATCGAAAGGGGGTCGTTCAGGGGCCTTTTGCTGCAGCATTTCCGACTTGTAAACAAACTAGCGTGGGCGTAAATGCTGGGCGTGGCCATAACAGACACCCACCCAGCTAGCCAGCAGATAATTTATCATTTATTTTTAAACTGTAGTCAACAAAGAAGAAACAAAAAAAAAAAAGAACAAAATTAAAAAGAAAATCGACATGAGCCGAGGAAAAACAGAAAACTGAAATGCGAACGAAAGAGAGAGAAAAAAAATAAGATCAACATGAAAATTAAGTTCCATTGCCCAACAGACGCGACGGCTGCCTTTCGGTTCTTTGCATTTTATTATAAACAATCCCAGCAAATTTTCACACAACAACAACAACAGCAACTAGAACGATGCAAACGGCAGCTACGTTGTACAATTTTTGAGGAAAAGCAGAAGGAAAATACCAAAATGGAAAAAAGCAAAACAAATTTTCAAATTTGCGCAGTTCAATTAGTTTCAAAAATTTTCAATGCGCCAAAGAAAATTAAGCACATATGGATGAGTAGTCTCTAGAGAGGTGCGAGTACGAGAACGGGTACAATGAGTGTGAGTATGAGTGTGTGTGTAAGTACGAGGACGAGTACTCGCTTGTATCTGTTTATGTACTCGTATTGTATGCGTGCCTGTGTGTGTGTGTGTGTGTGTGTATGCTCGCTAGTAATATATTGGGAAAAGCGGCACAGTTGAATTTTCCATGGAAAACTGTATGCCAAGAAGATTCTAGCAAACTGATTAGTGAAAGCAGCAAATCCGAGAAAAAACAAAGAACTCAAAATGAACTATTTGTACATATCATGTGATTTAAGTGATCTCTAAAAGAATCTATATATATGATCTATTATCATGCGTGGGATTGAAGATCTCTTTTGCAGACTATTGATTAAAGACTTTGGCATTGAACAGAGATTTTGCTAATTATTAAAGATTTAAATTAAAGATTCTGCAGATCATGTGGTTAACGTGTTCTCCGAAAGAAACTATACTTGCATATATACAATCTATAATCATCTTTTTTAGTGAAAATATCTACTAAAGACCTTAGAACATAGATTTAGTTTATTAATAATAAGTTCAGTTGACAATTAAACAAATTATTTGAGTTAAATGATCTGGAGAGAGAAGCTATATAGGATATATAATCATGTGTAGGAATCTTGATGGGAGCTCATTGATATTGTTAAGGAAGAATAAAAAGAACAAGTAAGAGGTTTTAGTCGGGAGCTCCCCACTAGGGGATACCCTGAACCCTCTTCTTCCAACAACAAATGCAAATATATATACTATTCTAGAAGCTACTTGTTAAGTTTGGTGACTCTAACTCTTATTATTTCTCGATATCGATTTGATCGATTACTTGGAAAAGGGGCAAGTTATCGATTATCGGAAAAAACTCGATCTGCGCAGGTACTCTTATAGGTTATGATATCCTTGCGTTCATACATACGGACGGACAGACGGACGGACGGACAGACAGACAGACGGACATTGCTAGATCGACTCGGCTATTGATGCTGATCAAGAATATATATACTTTATGGGGTCGGAGATGCTTCCATCTGCCTGTTACATACATTTGCATTTTGCACAAATACAATATACCCTTTTTACCCATTTTCAATTGAAGAATATGGAAAATAGATTTGGCTTATTCATAAAGGTTTAAGCTAAAGATTCTATAGTTAATTCGATTCAAGGGGTCTCTCTTTTACCTCTCTTTCACTTTTTGGCCCTGAACTGTCGAGTGGCATTTCTAGCCTTTATTGTTCTTATTGGATTTAACTCTCTCCGTCTCTCTTTGATTTCTCCCTTTCATTATGGATGTGCCAATATTATGTGTTCGGAAATTGCAAGTTTGTTTGAGTTGCCACGCGACTCGCCCTATCGCTGGTAGTTCGTGTATTCTCCGCCTCAGCAGCCGCCCCCTGCCTCCAGCTACCCCTACGCCGCTGGTAGGGGCGGGGCGGTGCAGTGCAAGACAGGAACGGCATCGCTATTTTTGAACAAGCCGTAAAATACAGGGAACAGATCGCCGAGTGTGTGACTGCAACATTTCTGCGATCTTCTTGCACTCGTTCACAAACGTAAAAAGAGCATATTGGTTTTATGGAAATTGAAGCAGATAAGCCCCAAATATCTTAAATAGTTTAAGAGCTAGTATAAACAAATTTGGATTAAAGACTACTGTTCAGCTCTGCTCAAGATTAAACAAAATATATTTTGATATTGTTTTTTAAATAGGGCTTTTATTGGACTGTGAGCGCGTATTATGCAATTGGTTATACCCGACTGAAAATCTTCGTACACATTTGGATCTGCATTTGCTCAGCTGGCACATTGAGCGAATTTATCGCCTGCACAATTCCAAGTTGAAGGAAACACTAAGCGCGTGCCAAACGACTGAATATGGAAATGGAAATGGAAATGGTTATGGCCAGGGAAAAGCCAGAGAGCGGCAGAGAGTGGGCGGTAGAGTGAGAGAGAGCGAGGGGGAAAAGGGCAACAGACTGGCAATTGTCAATTGAGCGCTTGAATGCGCCCAGTCACACCTTTCCTTGCCGCAGAGGCAACAACAACTTCCTGTACAACCCGCCAGGCAGCTGGTCCAATATTTAATCATCAATTCGCCAACTATTTATAGAAATGCTACGACGGAAACAGCAGCAGCAACATGAGATGCAGCAGCAGCCAGTTGCAACCGAAATCCAATAAGAATTCATTCAAAGGGAAGTACAAAGAAAATGCCTGCGCATGGCATTTCCCAAGTGCAACGCATGCCACATTCGATTACAGCTCGATTTTCCATGCAGTTGACATTATTTTCATCTGTTGCTGATCTCTTGCAGTTGCAGTTGCAGTTGCAGTCGACGTCGGCGTCGCAGTCACAGTCGCACGGCATTTCCTGCCCTTCGTCTGTTTTATAGCACTTGGCTGGCTGTGACATGATTTTGGAATTTCATTACATGCCCGCGGAAGTGATTCGACTCTACGGTCTACAAACATCCGCTTGTCCTTGAGCTAGACACGCTGCACATGCAACAGGGGCAGCAGGCGGGGACCCTCACTCTTCCACTTGCACGTGTCTTTTACCTGGACAAAGTGGCATATGCGTGTGTGTGCGTGTGCGTGTGTGTGTCTGCTTCCGGCCTTGGGCTGAGTATTTGATATAGCTGAAACATCTCTAAAAATCGCTGGGAAGTACTTTTGCTACTCGCTCAGTCTGGGATCGTTAGCAAGTGCGGTTGTTGTTGTTGTTGTTCTTATAGTTGTTGTTGTTGTTGTTGTTGGTTTCTCTCCGCCTGTCTCGCTTCTCTGTTTACGTTTCGTATCGTTTCGTTGGCGGCTTCATAAATTTTTCACGCTGGACATGGCTGCACTTTTTCCCTGGGCGCTGCGTGGGTCGACAGCGAAAGCGACGGCGACGGCGACGGCGACGTCGACACGCGCTGAATTATGATTACAAGAAGAAAAACAAGACGTGAACCTATCAAAGCAAGGCATAAATTTTCACGTTGGCCCCGCAGACACGGCCTGGTGGGTGGAAAGGCGCGAAAAGCGTGGAAAATTCACGCTCTTTACCAATGTTGTTGTTATTCTTTGCCTCTAGTTATTGTTGCGCATCCACACAGCATGTGTATACATATTCTCACAAAGGCATTCAAAATGCAACTATAACTACATACATATGCATATGTTTATATATATATATATATATATATCTATATTCGTATAAGTTAAGATACAAGCGAAGGCATGAAGATCTTGTCAGATTTAGCTTGAGCTAACAAATCCCAATGAATTTCATTAAGCATTTTGCTCCAATTTTAATTTAGCGAGCGATTGGAAACAAAAACTAATTTCATTTGAACTTCAGATTTTTCTCTAGCTTGAGGCATTCAAAGAGGAAAGAAATCCAAATGAATGAATATATCATTGAAAAGAAGTTGTGATAATGTGCTTATTATTTTGATCATGAGCTCATATATTTATTGAGATTTTGGAAGACTTGTTTTGAAATTTGAAAACCTTTGGTTCTTTCTTGTATATTCCATGCTATTCAGCTTTCATAATTTTGGACAGCTCGCTGAATTATGCGCACATATCCATATAAGTATAATGAAGGCACAAAGGGTTCTCCATGCTCAATTTCATTGCCACATAGAAAAAGAAATAAAACTTTATATGCCGAACACTTTATGAAGCTGCTGGCTCATAAAACTTTAAAGTGAGTCCGCAAAGGATAAACGTTGACAACTTGGGGACCGAAAACCGAATTCAAAGATTGAAAGAAGTTTCGAGTGAACGTGTGCGAGTGCGTGTGTGTGTGTGTGTGTGGTCGTGTTGCATGCCTCATTTGAGTTGCGACTCTCTTATATGCTGCTTTATTATGACATATGAGAGGGAACATACTACATGTCATATGAAACGAAATAAATGTGCTTAAATGCTGCCGTCTCGGAACGCCAATTGCGTAAATGACAGCAAAAACAAAGGCAAAGGCAAATATCATTGTCAAGGACAGAGTTCGTCGATGCGCCCTTTGGCAGCTGTAGAAGGAAACTCGAAACGCGCAGATATAGAAAATATAAGTAAGGCCCAGCATTATGTAAAAACAAAGTCTATATCCATTTCCAAACTTTATGTTTTCAACCCGAAATTGAATCCTAATGTCAGATCGTGGGATTTATATAAAAGCCTTTAATTTGACATGATATCAAAAGTCAGGTCAGGAACAAGATAAGAAATCTTCGCTGAATGTTAAACTCTCTCAATAAATCTGTGCAGAGTTTGATCGCTTGAAATACCTTTAAATTAGTTGTTGTATAAATTCGATATAGTTAAAAGTCTATGAAAATTAATAACATCAAAACAATATTTATGGATATAACATTATTGATTCTTCGTCTAGTATAAATAACAATAATAATCTGTCTAAAACTGAGTTCTTCTATGATCAGCATGTATATTTATGATTCAAGATTTATTTACCCAAACTGACTAGTTTTTCCTTCTTCTTACACACTGGGAATATCTCATCAACATCGAACTACTATACCAAAGTGAAGAATTGATCAAAGAATGAGTTTAAGTCGGGAAAATTGATCTGTTTCTCGAGATATCTTGAACATTACGAGCTTAATTTTATGCAAATGAGTATTTTATATTATATAGGAGCTATCTGTCAGAAAGAGGCATTATAAAGGCGGCAAACCAAAGATATCCGTTCATTCTTGCTAAAAAGATGGTTCAATGTAGATTTTGGCTCAACTGAAACTACTAACTAATACTGCAATAGTTTATATTATACAATTTGTGGCATGCAAATGTCCGAGCACAACTCTTTAAGCACCTGCTCGTCATATCGATCCAAGCTCTCTGAAATTGTTGTTACCCTTCATGCGCGCCTGTGGTTCGCTCGGTTCCTATATGGAACTCATGTTGCGGTCAGGTAAAACACGAGCGCCAAGCGTAAATAATTTATTAAAAAATAAATAAAAATAAATTTAAAGCTGGCGAAAAATATTAATAAGAATCATGACAACTTGCTTGCTGTATGCAAAACGCGTCGCTGTCGACGTTGTCAGAGCGGCGACGTCATGGACGCACATGCGCCAAATATTTGGACGTTTCGTTCTACTTTGGCGCAGGCGCAGCTCTGGGCAGGCAGCAGGCTCATTAATATGCGTCTGATGGCCAGCTCCTGAGAGTGCCACCTCCACTAGCTGCCTGCCCCCATCCCTCACTGCAACTTGCAGATCTCGCAGCTCGTGCAGCAATTCGCTGGAAATCTGCGCAAAGGGACGCGCGCGTCTTTGGCGATGCCGGCTCCGGGCTTTGGTTGTGCTGTAGGAGATGCCGCTGGCGATTGTCGGGAGCTCCCATACATCAAAGTGTCGTGTTTTGGCTTATAAATATGTACGCGCTAGTGCGTTGGGCCACGTTTAGGGCCGCAGCAGGTTGTTTCTCAGCTTTCTACTAGAAATCAAACAACACACAATCGCACGCCGGGCATGCTAAGCAGCCGGAGAAGCCGGAGCAGGCAGGCAGTCGGGCCAACAGCAACTGATACTGCCACTGCCACTGCCCCTGGGTTTGGGAAACTGTGCAGTGTGGGCAACCTTTGGCAATGCAGCGTGCAACGTGTTGCACATTTAAAGCAGCTCCGCCCCAGCACTTTGTTGTTGGGTTAAAGGTGCCCACGCTGCATGAACCATGTCGCTGTCGACGCGTGTGAATGTTAAAGCAAAGGCCACAGCAAGCGATCCACTAATACAGTTTACAGAGACATTCGATTTTCAATTGAAATTGGAAGTTTAGTTAAAACTGGTTGCGAATTTTAAGAAGAAATTTAATTTTTGATTATAGTTGCTCACCTAACAAAGACAGCTAAACGATCCAAATAAGCACTTGGTCTTATCAAGTTTTAAGAAGTTTTCAATTTTGTGTCTATTGCAATCATTGAAATTTTGTTAGAACTCGTTGCGAATTATAAGTAAAATGTAATTTGAACTAAGCTCTCAACATATAAGTACTACCACCTATTTTCATATCCATATATTTAAGATATATATATAATGTTAAAAACGGAACTCACCTTGATCCAATCGGCGCTCCATGCGGCGCCATTGGCGCATATGATGGATGAGTATGCAGGCGGCCACCGAGAAGAACAGCAGGCAGGCGAGCGCCGCGATAAAGAGTGCGCCCGTCTGCCAGTCGAGGGGCAAGGCAGCGGCTGCCTCCTCGTGCAGCTGCTGCAGCTGCTCGTGGGTCAAGTGCTGCAGCGGCGTTGGATGATCGAAATGCTCATATTCCGAAAACTTTCGGCGCTGCAATAGTTGCGGAAATCGTATCAATGAGAAGCGAGCACATTCGATCCATATGTGCCAACAGCTTACCTCCTTCCAGTTTGGCTCCGTTCTGGACACCCTCACCCAATCGATTGGCAGATCGTAGATGGACCTGCAAACGGTATCGATGTGCAGCTGGCACGGGCGATGGGTCATCATCTCGCCCTGGCAGCTAGTGCAGGGCGTGCACTTGTGCTGCAGCTGATCCCACCAGTGCTGCGGTGCACAGGGTGAACTGGGCACCACAAAGCCACTGGCGCTGGCGCTATTCGTGGCAGAGGCAGCGGCAGCGGCGACGGCAGCGGCGGCAGCGGAAGCGGTGGCGGCGGATGCGGATGCGGCAGCAACAGCGCACAAGGAACATGTTGTGGTTAGGAGCAGAAGCGTCAGGTAGGCGCCAGTTCTGCTTAGATATGGGATGCTGCTTCTTCTACGGATTGTTGTTGCTCTTGCTGGTGATGTTCCTGTTGCTGTTGTTGTGCTGCTGCTGCGCTGCTGACTGCGCTGTCGCCTTCGTCGACGTTTGTGAAATTTGGAGTTTGCGTTTGTTTTTGTTGTTGTTGTTGTTGCTGTTGCTTTTGTTGTGCGCATTATAGCTAATGTTAAGTTGTTGTTGTTGTGTTTGTAGTTGTTGTTACTGTTACATTTACTGCTACTCGTTGTTGTTAATTTCGTTGCGGCTGCTGCTGCTGCTCTGCTGGCTGCGCTGCCGCGTTGTATTAACGGCTGCATCTCTGCGAAACAGAAAGAGATGAAAAATGCAACAAAGATAAGCTTAATATGGCCTTCAAGTTTATACAAGTTTGCCATAATTTAAAATTGTGCAAATATACTTATAAGCAGGCAGTTGAAGATAATGTAAGATAATATCTTTTACAAGCAAATTCTAAGATGCAGTTTCTCTTATTTTTGTAAAAATTCAGAAAATATAGTCAAATTATTAATTATTTTTTTGTATCTCTTTAAGCTTAACTCTTCATAATAAAGTAAGTTTTCATATCTTAAAACAAAAACAACAAAATGTAAAGGGATCAGTCCAATAGATAGTTACTTTCAACGTTCAGGTACAATATATCTTGGCCTTAATAAAGGTATCAAACTTAATTAAATGTTTTAAATCGACATATACTAAACGTAAACCTAAATAATAAGTTTGGTATATATTATATTTCTCGAGTTATGCTTAAAGAATCAAGTCTCAAAACCGATATTTATGTATATGAAAAACTCGTATTGCTTATGATATAAAAACATAAATATTTGGAACTTAAAGTTTCTAGGTTTCGTAGTTTTCGAGTTAGACTCAGCTAGTCGTCATGATCCAGACTATATATACTTCTAGAAGATGCTTCCACCAGCTTGTTACATAGACATTAAGCCCTTAACCCCAAATAAATTTTATTTTATATATATGTATATCATATATATATCAGGAGTACCCTCGTTCTAACAGTTAATTAGACCCAAAGTTTCCAATGTGTGCTGTAGAGTTCCGTTTGATGTGAATCACGTTAAGTTTATTGCACATTTACGTTAGATTATTTTTGTAGGGTATAGCCTTGATATTTGCTTGAAAATGACATCTGTCGCCAGAAGTTTTTCATTTGCTGTTTTCCCAGGCGCGCGCTTTTCACACACTCATCACGGCAATCGCTGCGGAATCGCAGCTATATTTTGTTGTTTTATTGATATAGAGTTGCAAACTAATGGAAAATGGCAGCACAGTGGGGCGCTGTGCGTCATTGAGACATGGGCAGGGTGCCGCTCTACCGGTACAAGAACCCCCCCCCCCCCACCACCCTCTCCACCCACTCATCCGCCGTTGTCCCGCTGCATTATCGACCATAAAAGCGCGCGCAATGGCAAACTAATAAGCCGACCGGCGGCCAATGATGTTGATAATGCGACGCCATCATCATAATCATCATCATCGCCGTCATCATCATCATCATCAACAACACAATCGTGATCATAAATGCGTACAGTTTGCAATCAACTTTAATGTCAACGGGGTGCTTAGGCGTTTCGCCAAAGCTAAGCCCCTCTTCCCCCCTCCTCATGCACCACCGATGTTGCAACAGCTCTGGTCTGGTTCATTGCTCAGCCGCCGTCCGCCGTCCGCCCTCCGCCGTCGGCCGGCTGCAGTTCTGGCAGTGCCTCCGATTCCTTTGCATCAGCGACAACGACAGCGACAACGACAACGAAACTATTATAAATGGCATACAATTATTATTTATGCAGCTGCCGTCAGTCAATGGAGTAATTGAGAGAGGGGTAAGGTGCGGTGAGGAGCCGAGGGTAAACACTGGTTCCACATCCACTCAGCCAGTGGCTTCACTTCCGCTGCAGCAGCGCACAGACTGTGCCCAAGGGAAACCAGGAGGAGCCAGGCGAAAACATACAAATCGAACAGCTAAGACGAGCCTCAATTCTGGGTGGCCAGCATAACGAATACCTGCCGGTCTATGGTCGATTAGCTATCCAGTATTCAAGTATTTAATGTGCAGCATTTCATTGCGAAAAGAAAGCGTATACCAATTCGGTGCATAGAAAAACCTTGACCTGACAATGTGCTGCAATTACAGAAGTCACTCGCTAACTATTCTATTCTCTGAACCGACTTAATTCCATGTTTAAGTTTTGAACAAATATATCTGGCAAAGTATTTAAAAGTTGAAAATTCTTAAACGCAAGATACAAAACAAAGGAGAGTTATATCTCAAAGAGAAGGATTTGGGTTCTAGTATTTCTTCAGTTAAACAGATGGAAAAGCCAGCGCAAGTCAGCAGCTGAAGCATATGCTCTATTTGTACTCTGGAATTTCTAAATTTCTAAATTTGTGAACTTGAAAAAACGTCTCAAATGCCAGCTAGAGAAGCACATATATTAATGACAAGCATATTTTCAGGACAATTATTCTAATTAAGTTGAAATATAATCCATTTTTTGAAGAACTACATTTGTTTTTGTTCTACACATGGGTTGGATTCCTAAACTTCGTATGCTCAGTGGGTCGACGAAGGAAGGAATAACTATAATATGAATATGAATAACTTTTATATGAATATGAATAACTTATTATGAATATGAACTATAAAATAAATAAACAAGATGTTCCTAGACCTATGGATATCCTAATAGTCCAGCCAGATATAGTCCTGCAAAGGTTAAGATGTATGCATATATAAATATATATATATATATATATATATATATATATAGAGCGAGAGAGAGGAAGAGAGAGAGAGAGAGAAATAAGTTAGCCTGAGCCAAATTTCCGCTACAGAATTTGAAATGTTGCAAAATAAAAGATAAAATCATATCATAACCGAACGCACTTGTTGCTGGGGCACTATGGAAATTGTAGAAAGTGTGGATGGGCAAGAGCGGCTCAATGGGCGGTATTAAAGCGGTTCGGTATCGCAAAGCCGCACAAGTCACAAGTCACATAGAGCAATGACAGCAGCGTATAAAATGGAAACAGCAACAGGAAGAAGATATATTTAATTAAAATCAACCATAACTCGTACGGCCACCGGCAACGTGAACCGACGCACTGAGCTGAATGAGCTGCGAACACCGAAAGGGCACAGCACAGGGGTACGGGTTAGGGGTGGGGGTGGTGGTAGGGGTAGGGGATGAGCACAGCTCACTAAGGGGGTACATGTGTATCAGCGTACAGTATATAGATAATGCCCAGCAACTGTCAGCCCACAGCCAAAGCCCTAACGCCGGGGCAGAGCCCAACGATCGATGTTTGTTGAAAGATAAGTGAAAATCAATCGGATGGCAATTGGAAAGCTGAAAAGGGGCCAGCTCTGCAATGGTTTGAGGGGTGGCGTGGTGCAGGGTACACCCCCTCATTAGCTGTGCGGTTCGATTTACAAACATTTTGTGTCGTTACCATAAAGCGAGTCAATGTGATCCGGTCAACAATTTTAATTTCTAATGAAATTCAAATCGGAAATGGCCCATAAGGCAATGGCATTTCCTCAGTCGTGTGTGTGTCTCTCTCTCTCTCGCCATCTCTCTCTCTCTCTCTCTGTGTGTGTCTGGCACCTGTTTTCCACTCGACTATTAAAAATGCATTTCAACGCAAATTGAATAATTATTAGTTGTATTCGATTTCTGTTTATCGCGCCAAGTGGTTCCGGTTTTCCATATACATAGATACTACATACCGTATATACGCTCATAACAAATGATTCGAATTGTATCTGTAAGATACTTTGCCTTGATCTTTGGCCAACTTAACAAATGCGCCAATTTGCGTCCTCTTCATTATCTGTTGGCCTAGTGCCATTTGTCTGTCGGTCGCCCAATTAGACAGTCGTTCAATCAGTCATTTGCCGGGCAACTCGTCGGCAAATCGTCTCGGGCTTGTCGCAACAATTAAACCAAACAAATATCGAAACATTAATCATAAATCAATCATAATGTTTGCTAGTTAAAGCACTTTCCTCATATGTTGCAAACAAATATTATATCTTATTCCAATTGCTGTGTCCCTATACTTATGACTCTTCCAAAAAAAGAGTTCATCTCGAAGGTTCCCATTTCCATTTGATTTGAGTTTCCCGTCCTGAATCTAGCTTACTTTAAATTACCTTTAAATTAATAGATTAATAAAATATCGATATAATAAATCTATCATCGAGTTCGATTCATTATTCTTATCAATCCATCGTTCATCTTTTCTATATCGCAATATCTAAGTCCATATGAAATACACTTGCATCGATACAATTTTAATCGATATATTCAATCATCTACATCCGCTTTATCCTGTTCTCCCATCCCTCCATTCCTCCATTATTTATGATAATTTTCTCTCTCATGCCAAATTTTGAAGGGGTTTCCGAGTGTAGAGTTGCGCCCGACTCAGACTGTGCGACTCGAGTATTCGCATTGTCCCTGACCTAGCTTGGTTTCTTGATCCAATCCATTGTTGCTGGCGTAGATGCTGCTCCTGAAATTGGCCAGAAACTAGCTACGTGCTAGTCGAGCAGCTGTGTCTGCGACAACAGCGGGCAGTTAAGGCGACAACAGCAAGAAAATCAAGTGTAGCGTATTTTTAGCGATATATATATATATATATAGAACAGTATTCGAAGATCTGTCAGTTCGCTAACACGTAGTACCCAAAAACTTCCAAGCAGTCCGCGACACATGCCAGGAGTGCGGCAATGGAGGCCAAAGGCTGGCCGTATGGCAACTGCGGAGACATTGAGGCAGCAGAGCCACAAAAGCAACAGCAGCAACAGCAACAACAAGCGCCAGTCGCACAATGTGCGCGGAGATTATTATGTCAGAGACATGTATCTATAAGATACATTTTGGTGCGACTGACTGAGGCGTGCTGCGCCCTGTCGTTGCCGCTGTCGCTGTTGTTATCGTTCTTGTCTGACAACTGACAGCGACAGCAATTTACATCATGTTGCATTTTCAGCTCAGTGCTAATTGAAACCGAAAAGACACAAAAGGAAGAGTGATATAGACTGGGGGAGTGGGAGAGGGACAGGCAGAGGGGAAATGGGTCAGTCAGCTGAGCCTGCGCTTAAAGCAGACGCCCAGATAGCTCACATATATCCGAGCTTTGGCTAGGATCTCGGTCGAAACTTGAAGATCCTTTAAGTGAGAGCTACCAAAATTTAGTATGCAGCTTTGTGTATGCCTAACATAGCTTTAAATTTAAGTTTAAAATCCAAATACGCTCTATATATACTCTCCTTAGAGCTGAATGTGTATTAGCTAATCTATATATATAACAACTCTCCTTAAAAAACAGATATGTAGAGTATTTCGTAGTCGAGCTCGACTTTGCGACTTTTTATCAAAGGCAACCCTTTAGCGATTCGCATTTTTAGGCCAACAGCTGGCGGCTGTCGCCAGACATGTTTGCCAAAAAGTGAAAGCTGCAATATGGTTTATCTATTATAATGAAAATACGCAGACGTGCACTCAGCAAAAGTTTTGCCCTAAATTTCAGAAAATTGCTACAAAAACAAAATGTCTTTGAATGCAGATGAAAAAATGTTTCTTAATGGGAGCATGTATTTTTGTTCTCTGTTATTTTGGCGTTTTTCTTAAATGTAGTGCAATCATTTTTTTGAGTGTACAAATCTTCGAGTTGGCTAAAGTGAGCTGAATTATGGCCAAAAATATTTGTAAAATATTCAAATCTCAAATCAATGGGAATGGATAGCAATAAAAGGAAAGTTAGGCATTAATTCATTGATAAAACATCTGCTTTCAATTTTACAGGGCAACTCATAGTCGTGCCTGCTCTTAAGCGAACATTTCTGAAAGTAATTGCGCAAAATGAATGCCAAAAATAACATTAAGAAATTCCATTTGAAATCTTCGACTTTTTGAAATGTTTTACAACAATTTGAGCAATACCTCGCTCAGCTACAACAACAGCAACAACAACAACAACAACAAACAGGCAGAGTGCAATCGGCAGAGACATTTATTAAAATGTCAACTGAATGCTCACAGTTTTTATTATTATTGTTATTTTTTATGATTGTTTTTGTTGTTGTTGATTAGTATAACTTTGTATGTTGTTTGCTTTTGCTTTTGTTTTTACATCCCCTCTCCCTCTCCCTCGCCCAGTCCTGTCCCTGTCTCTGTCCCTCTCTCTCTCGCAGTCACTATTTCCCATTGCTGTGTAAATTCCAAGCGCGACAAACCATTAAAACGTTTCCATGAGCAAAAGCAACAATTTAATGAAACGCGCCATGAGCAGCAACAACAGCAACAACAACAACAACAACAAGACCAGCAACAACAACAAGCAGAATGCCGACTGATTAGCGGCATTTCAACAACAATTTAGTGGAATTGTTTAGAGTTCTGCAGTTAGTTGTCTCACATTTGTCTGTCCGTGTGTGTGTGTGTGTGTGCAATCAGCTGTGCTTGCGAAATTTCAGTGTAAAATCAATAAAAATCAAGAAGTAAGAATTTTGCAATCGGGTACAACCGACTGCGTAATACTCAAGTACAGCCTAATAACAGCTTGAACAGCAAATACCTACATAATAGATTGTGCCACGTTCATAGTGGGCGTAGGCAAACTATATAAGGCACGATCCTAGCAAGGGCTCACCAAGAATGAAATGACACTGAAATTAAATGTATATGTATGTATATATGTATGTGTACATATGTATATAAAACCTGGTTGTAAACAGTTGTTTTGTCTAGACAAACATTCGGGCAACGGCAAATTGATAGGCGCTGGTTCGAACCGCAGCCTCTAATGCACGATAGCATTTAAAGCCTAATAATAATAACAATAAGAAACTATTCCTATAGCTTTTCTACACTTGGCTGGAAAAGCTAATAGTATTTATAAGAGCAAACCATAGCCTCTAAATAAACAATAAAAGCAGCTAAAAATGCTTTTAGCCTGTGCTGACAGCTGTTCTTTGGCTAGTTCGATTTATTTGCATTTACCAGCATATGGAATACCCCGAATGCAAAGTCCACTTTTGCAACGAGCAAGAAATTTTCTGTTTATATTTTTCTAAGCTTTTTAGAATGGGAAGAGCTGTTAAACTGCGAAGCGCAATATTTAAGGAAAACAAAAAAATTTCAAACCATTTGCAAATCATTTATCAAAAGTTGCAAATAAAGATAAACAGAAGCAAATCTAATTGCAAGTGCACGATTATGAAATGCCCTGTAAAACAGTGATATTATTAACTTCACAAACTGACCTATTTCTATATATTTCTTTATACCCTGCCAAAATATAATTTTGTTCGCGTTTCTATAGAAATATAAGAATTATATATATATAATTAAAGAGTAAGGAAAGTTTCTTATTATTATGCTTACATAGATCAAGAACCAAATTATATTTTAGAAAGGTAAAAAGAAACTATGTTATAATAATTATCAGAAAGAAATATATAATTATTATATATATATATATAAACATACATATATATATATATATATATATATATATGGTGGAATGGGCAACTATTTTTATTACTTGTTTTGCTTACTTAAAATCTAAAGAGTTGAATCAAAGGGAAAAGGAGTTGGTTCAAACCGTTCACCAAACCATCGACTTTTTGAATTGGCAGCTTTCATAAAAAACATAAGTAGAACTTTTATAAAAGAATCTTTTAACATTGCAAAACGTCTGTTTCTCATTTGAAATACTTAACGTACAGCTGGTTTTACTGGGTTTGAGAATTGTGCGATCTTCAACCGCAATATCAAACGATGATTTGCTGAACTCTGGCCAAGGCAAACAAAAGACTTAAAGATGTTCGCCCAGCAGTCTGCTTATGTGTAGGTGTTATAGGTGCTAGATACATATATACGTATATGTATATATATACCATTGTATATTCATAAGTATGTTTGCATCATGTTTTGCATATTTAGACGAATGCCGATCGATTGGCTTTGGCTTTGGGCTAACGGGTACAGTCGATGGCGGATGCTGTCTATAACAATACAGCTAAAGATACAGATACAGCTACAGCTACAGATACAGATACAGATACGGATACACGGATGCAAACAGACAAATGCAGATACGGATACAGATGCAGTTTTGGAGGGCAGGCGACTTATTTTTACACTGACAGATTTTTGACAGATATTCGAAATGGAGAAGGTGTCCGTCCGTCCGCTTGTTATGTAAGCAATGCCGGGCAACAGAAGAGTTCAATGTATTATTTCCATTTATTTATGGACTGATCGCAACCAGTTGCAGGCTCTGGGCACAACAAGTGCCGACTCTAGGGTCTAGTCTGGCCGGGCCAGAGTTGGATCTGCTCGTGCTGCTGCTGATGCTGCTGCTGCTTCTGGCGATGTTTACCCTTTGGATATTCCTTCCGCTCTTTGGGTCTTTAAAGCATGTGTGTGCACGTTAATAGCACGGCGAGCATATATCCATTAGTTTTGCGTGCGTCTATGAGCATGAACACGAGTACACTCACACGCACACACTCACACACTCACACTCGTAGGCGTGTGTGTGCTGTGCCCCCTAATGGCCGTGCATCAATGCAACAGTTTGTCAGTTAGTCAGTTGTCGGAATCTGTGGGTTTCTCATTCAGATTCCGATTCTGATTCTGATTCCGATTGTTTTTGTTTTTTTTGTTGTGGTTTTTGTTTTTGTTTTTGCGCTGCCTGTACAGAGGGCTGCTACTGTTTCTACACTCGATTTATATTTTTTATCATTTGATTTAATTTAATTCCATTCCATTTCGGCTGCAGACCCAGCCTCAGCCTCAGCCCCAGCCCCAGCCCAGGCTGAATCCAGAGCTGCTGCTCAAAGCCCCGCCACCTCCCCCATACACACCAAAACGGGACCGGCAATGCGGTAGAGCGGGAGACAGACAGAGAGCGAGAGGGAGTCAGAGCATCATGATGATCATCAGCGGCAACTGGCGGGCGGCTGCTGCTGCTGCTGCTGCTTCCGAAACCGGGCATAACCATAATCATAACCGTAGCAAAGCTCATGAGTGGCGGGGTCTGCCCCCGGTCCATGGATCTGTTCCATGTTCTGTCCGGTCTGTCGTCCGTTTGTATATAGTCAAATATGATCATGATACTCTACCTACAGATGTGTGTGCCTTATAAACCTTATGTATTAAATAAATCACTCACTTTTTTCGTTTTTTTCTCTTTCGCTCGTTTGTTTGCGGTTTTTCTTAATTTTGATTATGTACACATACACATATATGTATATGCATACGTATACTATGTTGTTGTATTTGTTGTTGTTGTTGTTGTTGGTGTTCTCCTCGTTGGCTTTTTAATTAGCTTCTTGCATCTGTTACACTGTTGTTACACTTCGATCATCAATCAATCAATCAATCATTCAATCAATTAGTCGCCATGCACTCACAATTTCTTAAACTTTTCCTTGGCATTTCGTTGACACTTTTGCGTAACTTTTTTCTCTTGAAGTGCATTAAAAAAACAACAAAAAAAACATAAAACACTCGCGACTCACTAAACTAACGCATCGAGCGTATAAATCACATTCTATGCAAAACTATATGCATAGATGTGTGTGCCTGTGCGTGTGTGTATGTGTATGAGTGTGTGTGTGCGTGTGTGTATAATCGTATGTATTTAAGCATCTAGGTAAGTATACAACCAGGCATGGCAATGGCATCGTTTCAAGTGCCGTCGCGTTTTCCACATGCGATTGTACAAATTTTGAAAACGGCAAACAAAAAAAATATAAATAATTACAAAAAAAATAATACGGCAAAATACGTTTCTTTAATGCTAGTATATTTAAGAACCACTTGGAACGAACGACGATCGCAGCGATGATCCGCAGCTCGTCGCGGGCGTGGAGAGACTGAGGCATGCAACGGCAGCGATGCTCGTGTTTAAGCGACGCCGCACGCCAGTGTTGGCAAGCTAGCCATTTTTGCGCTACATCTAGCAGTGGGAGCTATAGCTAAAATGTTAATTAACATAAATGGATTTCACTTAGTCACTGATCTAGTTAATTGTTAGTGTTGTTGAGATTCAATTGCACTTAAATATAAATTAATGCTAGCTCACATAAGAAACTAGAAGTATTTAGTAACACTAACTAACTAATCCCATATTGATACTCGAGAAATAATTTGTTATTAGTTCTTGTTTTGTTATTTAGTTCTTGTATCTCTTCAACATTTATGTATTATAAGTCGTTTGTAAAAAACAATTGAAAAAAAAATATAGATCTCCAGCTTTTCTTCTGCAAAACATATATATTTTTTGCTTTCTTTTGAATTAGCTTCTGATTGCCTTTCAGTAGTTGACAACACTGTTGCGCTGTCTCTCAATGTTGAGTGTGACCAGAAGAGAGGTAAAAAGAGCGAGAGAGTGAGAGGAAGAGCGCACGGTCAAGCGAGCTAGCATAGTGAACTTTGCTGTTGGGGGTGGCTCAGCTCTCACGATTTCCCTTCGAGCCCAGCCAGTCGCTGTTCGCACTTTACCTTCTAAATTTCACTTTCGACCGGAAGAGGTCAACATGAATCCTCTGCTTGGATTATCACAAGATATGTACCCTGTCGAAGCTGCTGCAGAGATCAGTTTATGACTGAAAGAATAGCCAACATGAACCAAACATATATATACTTATAATAGAAATTTCAGTATTTGGTAAATAAATCATTTAAGAAACCTCAAACCCGGGCCAAACACAGTTTGAGGATGCGCCTTTAGTAAATTTAGCATCATTGGCAGCATACTTCTAGGCTGGCACAAAGAGACCAAAATTAAGTGTTGGTAACAGATATTTCAGTCAACAGCAGTGCTGCCCATTCAGCTATTTTCTAGTCAGCCGGATAGAAATGAAATTCTATAGTGGGCTTGGCAACACTGGCTACCAGGCATATCCGTGGATAGAGTTGCTCTTGGTATATCATTAGAGCATTAAAGAAGAATTGACGAATCCCATTAGATGCGATATTATTCTCAATAATTCTTGATCGGATAAGCTAACTTACACAGTTTATTGACCCACAGTATATTGACCCCATATCCATAAATATACTTTGATAATTCCGTTCATGAACTTTTTTAACTAAAAATATGCCCTTACTTTTCCATAGATGTTTATAAATCGTATTTCCATATCTCTATATATAAAACTATTTGTCCTGATTGACTTACCGATTGATTGATTTGGAGGCTGACATTTTTACTTTTGTTACCTTATGTGAGGGGGTTTTAAAAAATTCCGCCCGCAAATGAGGTAAAAACTCGAAAAGCATCCGATCAGCTAGAGCATCAATTTCAAAGATCTTTGAAAAAATTCCTCTGCTTCGTGTTTCACTTTTCGTCAAATCCACCCTCCTTGGATGATAGATGCGTGCCAAAGGTTGAATGGACGAAGCTTCATTGGCAAAGATCCTTTAGAAAATTCATTCGCGTCTTTCGTTAAGTTTCGTGTTCAAATTAATTTCCAAGGACCTACATATATAAGAAAGTTTCGTAAAGTCCAACACGAGTGAAAGTTCTTTGCAAAAACTGATTTATCACATATTACACAATCCTTGTTTGTAATACCCAATTAAGTCGCGATGCCATCCACGCCCTCGTGGATAGAAAATGCGGGTTAAAGGACATTTAAACGAAAGTTTATTTTACAACATCAAGATTCACACCACTTGAGTAAAGTGAGCGGAACGCGAGAATTCCAACTTTTGGCTCTAAATTCGTGGTACATCAAATACATTTTGTAAATATCTTTAGACGTGGAGTTCATGATAGTATAGGTAGACATAAAATAATCCACGGCAAAAATGGGAGTTTGTTAAAGGCCAGAAAACACCAGCTAGTCGTATACAAATGGCAAATCAAGTTCTTAGACAGTTTATAGAATTCAATCAATGATAATACGCTTGAATTCCCGATTCAGTTTGTTCGGTACATTCGATATTGAGATGTGCATTCTTTTAAGTTTATCAGAATATTTTGTGTGTTTTTATGCAGATATGTGTCTTAAAGTTATATTGTAATATCGTTAGTACTTGAGTTCCTGTGGCTCGTCTCAATATTTGATCAAAACTTGATATGGGGCAACAGCCGAGGCAAGTTCTCGGTGGCCAAAATACAATTAAAATACATCGTTAAACTTATTGTCTTGAAGGTTGAGCGAGGCGCGTCCGGTGGCTGTGAGGCTGGCAGCCGGATTACTTGATGTAACCCTGGTCAATGGCATGTTTGAAGATTTCGGCAATACGCTGCTGTTTGGCGGGCTGCTCGAAGGGCGTTATGTTCCAGACGTCGGTGAGGACAGCGTTCTCGACAATGGCATCCAGATCGGCCACCTCGTCGTCCTCGATGAGCGACATGGGCAGCGACTCGATGCCCATGCCGCAGCCGAAGCGACCAAATTGCTTTAGCTCGTCCTGCAGCGTTTCCCAGGAGATGACTGCCTCTGCATCGCCGCCCAGATCTGTGATAAGTGCCTGGGCACTCTCCAAATAGGCGCGCAGCAGCTCATCGTAGTGCTCCTCGCGCAACTGCTGGCTGGTGCAGGAGTATATGAAGAAGCTGACATCCAGCGCAACGGAGGCGCAGCGCGCCAGCTGATAGTCAATGATGATGATTTCCTGCGGTGCACCGTCGTCGCTGTAGCGGGTCAGGAAGTTGGGCGTCCAGCAGTCGCCATGTCCAAAGACACTCAGCTTGGAGCGCGTGGACACCAAGTTGATCAGATCGTCGAACAGCTGAGGCTGCAGAAAATTGGTGGCCAACGTCTCATACTTGGTGTTGGGGAATGTCTTGTTCACAGCATCCAGAGCCACCTTCTGGGCCAGCTGCAAGAAGTCCTTGTACCACTCGCGCGTATGCTCGCCATAGTAGGTCTCCTCCAAGGCACCGGCGGCCTTCTCAAAGTTGTCCGCATCCAGAGCCTTGAACGCCAGAGCCACGCCATGATAGCGTCCCATGGTGCGCATGGTGAGAAGTGCGTCCTCCAGAGATATGTAGTTCTGGCTAAAATGGTAAAATTGAATGATTATCAAAAAAGGGATAATATGTGCTCCACAAACCGATTGGGTGAGCGATAGCCACGGAAGCCCACATCCTCGAGAGCTATGAAATCGTTGACGCCATCACAGATGGATGCATAGCACTTGGGATACTCCGTGAATGGCTTCTTGGGCTTGGGCTGACGCGAGGCCTGGAAAGCCTCAATAGCCGGTATGACCTTCGTGTAGAAATTAATCTCGTTGCGGAAAAAGTCCGTGGAGCGGAACAGTCGACGCCTGTGCAAATTGTCCGGCATGCCCTTGACAACGACATTTACCTCCAGCTGTTTGCCCTCCGGCTCCTTTACGCCGTAAACGCACAGCCGGAATACGCGACTCAAGTAGGAGTCACCCTTCTTGCCGCCCTCCCCAAACTTGTACGAGGTGTGCTTGGTGCCGCCGGCGTTCTGAATGATCTCATCCAATGTCGCCTCAGTGAACTTGGCGGATATATCTGCAAATGCTGGTTCGGCCATTCTGACTGCACGATTCCTACTGTGCCTGTTGCTGGAATTCGTCGAGATTTATAAAACTAATTGATAATAATAACCGGTGCGGAAAGTTTCGTTGCGATACGATGCGTTGCGTTTAGTACACGTCAGACAAGGTACGCACGTATGTATATATGTATGTATATATGTGTGTGTGTGTGTGTGTGTGTGTGTATACCTACCGAAACTATTTGTATCTGTGATAAGATCAATTTATTGGCAACTATGTCTGACGTGGTCAACACTTCGCGAGAGACTGTGGAGTGCTTTGAGAGCACGCTGCTGATAAAATTGATTTCAGCCACCAAAATGCTGCACTTCAAATTTGCCGCCAAGCAATTTGTTCGCTCAGTGCGAATATAGAGAGAAAACAAGAGCACGCCCACGCAGCACAGATAAGAAAACTTAACTGTACAGCCAGGCAGGTGTGTATGTATTATTTGCGGCAACCAGTAGTTATCTCTTGTGGTCGTATCGTGTATGGGCCGTCCAACAGCTGATTAACTGTCACTGCTTAACAGCTCTGTGGATTGTAGCATTAATAGGCAACCATAATTGTACAGCTGGTGTATGTGTGTGAGTGTGTGCGTGCATTGTAACATTTAATTTAATATGCAGTGCAATTGTTCGTAGTTGTATGTACTGCAGGGTACAGTTTATGTGTTGCGGTCGTAACGTGTGTGGCTCCACCAAACAGCTGATTAAACACATTTGCGGCAATTGCGACGCAGTGTTGGCTAATCGCTTTTCAAACGTTCAGCTCGTTTTTAGTGCTGTGTACCGCCAGCAGCTTGCACGTGTTGAAATTGGAATTTTGTTTTCGTTGCGGTACCGTAGTACTTGGAAGTGTTTGCGCCATGGCTGCGCAGGAACCTGGAATGAAGAAGAAACGGATTTCAAAGAAAAACAAATCCGCTTGGCGCAAAACAGACATACAAGATGTCGAACAGTTTCTGGAGGATCAGCGCCAGGAAGAGCGCATTGGGTAAGTCCCAACAATTTGTAAACAATGCACCCTGCATGACTTAACGAGGACAACGCATCGCTTGCAGCACCTTCACAGACAAACAGAACGAGGATCTGTTTGTGGTGGATGCTTCGCCGCTTAAGACTGCGCCCAGCCAGCTGTCCGTGAAGAAGAAGCGCAAGCTGAACGCTCTAAAGCCGATGCGCTCACATCAGGCACTGGAGAACACATCCAAGGTGCAGGATCCGATTGTCAAGCGGTAAGCGGCTGTCCCCCTCCAATACGTGGATAAATGTATGTATAAATGTATAAATGTTATGGTTGCTGTTGTCGCAGAAATCATGTGCGACAGAAGAAGAACGGACGCAACATTGAGCTGGAGGTGCGTAACCCAACTAAGGCGCGTCATCGCCAGGCGAACAGCGATCGCGGGCTCTACTACGAGAAGCTGGATCAGCGTCTGGCGGCCAGGGAGAGCGGCAAGAAGGATAATAAAGTTGATAAGGACATTTGGCAGGAGGTGGACTTCCGTGATAAAATACCCGGGCTCAAGGATGAGAAGGGCTGGATCAGTCGTGATCTGGCCGTGCATATTGCCGGCAACATCGGCCGCAAAGTGGTCAAAACGCACGCCAGTCTGCACCACAAAACTACCAAGGCCAAGTGAGTGCCAAATGCCCAATCAAACCTGACATTTGTCCAAATAATATTGCTTCATTCGTAAATGCAGAAAGTTTGAGGCACCGCATCCAGGCATGAGCTACAATCCCTCGCTGAAGGCGCACCAGGAGCTGCTGGCACATGTGGTGGACCGTGAGGAGGGCATCATCAAGAAGGAGCAGCATCTGAAGCGTGTCACCACCAGCATGTTTAGCAAGGTGACGCCCGAGGAGCGCGACAGGCGCCGCTTAAACGAAATGAGCGAGGGCATTAAGGAGGAAGGCGAGCCTGCATCGGCATCCGAAGATGAAGAGGGGGCTGACCAAAAGCCGGCTGACAACAGCTATTCCACAGTCAATGCGCCCGTCGAGAACAAGAAGAAGAGCAAGCAATCGCGCAACAAGGAGCTAAAGCAAAAGGAGCTGCAGCGCCTGCACGCGGCCAAAAAGGCGCTCAAGAAACAGACTGCAGATCTGATTAGGTAAGCGAGAAAGCGAACGCGAGCAACTGGCTTAAGCTAACGATGCCCCTCCTTTGCAGAATCAAATCCATACGTGCCGAGGTAAAGGAGGAGGCCGAGGAGCTAAATGAGGTGAAGAAACGCCGTAAAGCGAAAGCGGAGCGTAAAAAGTTCGAGCCGAAACGCTTGGGTCGTCACAAGTTTGTGGAGCCTGATGTGGATGTGAACATGCCCGAGGATCTGGCTGGCAATCTGCGTAACGTTAAGCCGGAAAGCAACCTGCTCACCGATCGCTTTAAGCTGCTCCAGAAACGCAACATACTGCCCACAACGGTGGCCGTGACACGCAAGCGGTCCAAGGTGAAGCGTTTTCCGCGCAATTCCCATAAGGAGGCCGGCGTCAGTTTTCAGGATCTGCGCGCGCAGCGCAAAGCGGCCGCTGCAGCGGCCAAGGCCAACAATGATACCATCAAGATTTAGATTACGTCAAAACTCTCCAATTTTATTGAAGAAACACTTATAAATATAGATTGTACCCCATTTTGTGCCCAGATAAGATCAGATAAGCGATTTGCCAGCGCCCTTTTTCAATTTCGGATTCTTCTTAGTCTTTTTGGTCTTTGGTGGTCCCAAATTCGGTTCCGGCTCCATAACAGCATCCAACCGCTTAACGCCGCTGCATAAAATAGCAAAGGGAATGACATATGTTTTGACATGAACAAGAGAGAGAGAGAGAGAGAAAGAGAGAGGGGGGGGGGGGGGGGAAGAGAGAGAAAGGGAGAGACAGCTAAAAGTGAGAGAGGGAGAGCAGTTCTCGCTGTCTCTCTCTGGGCGACAACTACCTTACCTCTTCACCGAGAGCAGACCGCTGCCTGAGCCAGCACCGACGCCCTTGCCATTGCTCTCCAGCGCCTTGGACCAGTCGTCCTCGCTGCCCTTGATTTGGTATTCGTCTAAGGTCATTTCGGCCTGAAGGCGTTTTAGCTCCTTGCGCTGCTGTTTGGTCAGCTTTTGAGCCGACTTCTCCAGCTCTTTGTCGATGGATAGTGAGAGCGGCTGCAGTTCCTCGCCACGTGGCAGCTCCGACTCCTGCAGCATGCCGCCTTCAATGTGCTGCTCGAGCACCGAACGGAAGCACTGATTGCACTTTTTCATGGCATCAAAGAACTTGGCCAGCAGCTGGTTGCCCGGCATGTTAAGCTCGGCGGCAATTGCGTCTACCGACTTGCCCTGCACGCCCAGGCCCAAGAGCACACTCTGCTGCACCAGATCCAGCTGGAGGCCCTCGATGCGACCCTGGAAGTACAGCTGAGCAATGTCCCCGAGCAGATCGATAATCAGACGAAACTCGGACTGCTGGCGCGCATAGCTCTCCAGGCGCTGCAGGTCGTGCGGAAGAAAATACACGTCCAGCGTGGACTTGTCCAGAGTAGCAATCGTTGTATCAGACTCCTCCATGGTCTTGTTCTTGAGCAGTGCGAGGCACAACTTAATGCCAAACTCGCGGAAGGTCTTGGCCATCAGCTTGAGGACGCGTCGGCGAAAGTCCTGATAGTAGAGTGGCAGCCAGTTGCCGGGTGCCCGCTTCAATGTCTGCAGCATGATGCAGCTATGCTCGCCGGTCAGCTCGTTGGCTTTTTGGCTGAGATAGACGGGCACGTAGCCGACGCTTTTCCAGAACTTGAGCAGCTCCGCGGTTAGGCCGTACGAGGTGCCTATGTAATCTATACGCTCCGGTATGCGCTCATGCAGGCGCTGAAGCAGCGTGGGAATGCGTTTGCGCGGACGGATCTGCTCCTTGAGCAAGCTCAGCTCCTCCTCCTCAACCTCCTCGATGCCAGCTGAGTGGGGGGCCAAGCAAAAGATTAGCTCCAGATAAACAAATTGAGTTCGAGCACCCCTTCACTCACCCTTTTCGTTGTCCGTGATCTCATCGTTGACATCGGCAAAGCAACCCTCGTAGTAGTCTTTTAGCAACATGATTGCCCGCTTGCCATAGCCCATGCGCTGGTAGTTTGGATGTGTTGCTACACGCACGATGCGAACGCCCGAGAGCTTGGGAAAATCTCGGTCTCCGTATTGCTCGGCCACGTTCCAGGGTATCAAATCGCCGGCGGCCTTCTTGCCGCGTCCCAGGGATTCGCTGATGCTCTGTGCCGAGATTTGTCCCTCGAGTGCCACCTGGATGACCACTAGAATCTCGGGCAGCTGGTCCATGCGCTGCACTGGCGCTAGCATGCAGAACAAATGATGGGCGGGGGCATCGCTCATCATCTGCAAGTCGTTGGGGGTATTCTTATAGTGCGATGACACATAGATGGACATCAGGCGATTCAGAAAGGTCTCCGCGGCCTTGTGGTATGAGAACAAGGCATCGCGATTAATGTAATAGAGTTCGCAGAGGTTGGGCAGCGGACAGCCGGAGTTGACGACGGCCACAGTACTCGTGTCCAGGCAGAGCAGATTGATAAGCCAGCGCTCGATGTCATCATTGGGCTTGTAGCGTATGGACTCCTCTAGCGTAATCGGCGGATGAGCATTGTTATCCTTTTGTATCTGTGCGATCAGCTTCAGGCTGAGCGACCGTCCCGTGCCCTCATAACCATTGATGGTGCTGGCCATGAATATCAAGTAGGGGCCGATCATCTTCTTGACCAGCGGCAAGGGTATGGCAGCCGCCTCATCGATCATCAGCAGATCGGCGGCATTCAGCAGATGCGTATCGCTGGGCGCTATATACTGTATGGTCTGGCGGCTATTGCGGGTTATATTGATGCGTATGATGGCCTTCTTGAAGTCCGGATTGGTGCTGCGTATGATGGTGTAGTCGGCGTGCTCCTGATACTCCAGCGCATCAAAGCCCTTCAGTATGAACTCAAAGAGCGTTATCAAATTCTCGGGATGCGGCGATGTCACATACACATTCACGTAGCCAAACGAAATGGCACCAGCTATGGCCAAGCCCATGGCAGCCGATTTGCCACGCCCACGTGCCGCCGTCAGCGATATTGGCGGCTTCAGCTGTTTATCGACCAGCGCGTCCATGAACTGGGCCACAGCATGTCCTTGGTCGAAGGTCTTGCAGAGACTAACCAGTGCGCCGGCGGGAGGTGAGTTCATAAGGTTCTTCTGTATGGCCTTTAGGTTGCTGTCGTTCTCCGACTTCCCAATCTCCGCTGGCTGTCAAAAACAAAACATTCAACTAAATACACAAGAATAAATGTTCGCTGCTTAATTACAACTCAATGCACGTCTCGTAATGAAATTATAATAAGGCGAATCCTTGAATGCTGCACTTACATTCACTGGCTCCACATTGATCGTCTTGGAGCTGAGTGGCAGCACGGTCAGGTCGTCGTTGACCACCAGACAGCGCTTGCAGTCGGCCAGCGAGAGGATGAGGCGCTCGTTGAAGCGGCAGGTGACTGTCTGATGTGCCTCGGTGCGGAAACGCTTGTGCACATCCATGCCCATGGTGTAGAGTTGTTTGAGAGACTGCATCGTCTTCAATAGCAATATGATCAAGCCGCCGCCCTCGACGGTTTCTACGGTGCGCGCCAGCAGATTGGGCGTCAGTGCCTCGAAATCTTGGAGCACGCACACGCCATAGGTGCGACCCAGTATGGCATGGGTCTCGGAGTAGTAGCGACCATGTATGGTGGTGGCCACGCGGAACGCATCAAACAAGTCCACTTCATTCACATCTACCTTGCCGTGGGCAATCTTCTTGGCACGCTTCTTGCCGTGACTTGAAGTAATTGTTTTATATTTTTAATTGCCATATTAGTAAGAGCAACAGGTGTGACTTACTTGGAAATGGCCTCGTCCTTGTTCTTGTAGCACCAGAGCACAGTGGGGCGTGCCTTCACCGTCGATTTGATCAAAATGTCGTAGAGAATCGGCACTTGATCGCGCGCCTTGTCGCCAATGATGACGAACATGGTGCGATGGCCCAGCTTGACGCCATTCTCGATCATGACGCGTATGCGATTGTCAATCTTTTTCTTAACCATCTTGCTTTGACACACTGTCAATTGATAATTTCAGTTATATTCAATTTTAGCTTCGCGATTCTGAATGGTTCCTTCAGCTTTCGGTTTAAATGCACGTGCGACTTGCAGCTGACAACCGTGGAGTTATCGATAGCAGTTAACAGAAACTCCTCCGCTTTACAGAGGCGCCACCGCTGTTATCACACACAACAGCTGTCAGTGCATAGCTATCGATACACAGCTAACACCGACTGCAACCGATTGCAGCTGGGAAATGCAGACAGTAAACTCCCCGTTAATAGCCGATGTACATAACAGAACTCATAATAATCAATAAAAAATAACGTCAATGTTAAAAGCGCGTAGTGCAAATCAGCTTAAGCGAGCTATCGATACACAGCTAACAGCAACGCAATTGGGAGCATTTAAATCTCTGTTAACGCGCTGTTGAGATTCTGTTATCGGCTGCACGTTTTTAGTTGGTTTTTTTTTTTTTTGTTAATAAACAATTGCTAGCTGCATTTTTCACCATGTCGTCCTGGAAAAAGGCTTCGAAAAGTAATCAGAAGGTGCATCGCGAACGTCATCAGCCCGAGGCGCGCAAGCATCTCGGCCTGCTCGAGAAGAAGAAAGACTACAAGAAACGCGCCAATGATGCTCAGCGCAAGGAGAAGACCCTGAAGCTGCTCCACAAGCGGGCCCTCAACAAGAATCCCGATGAGTTCTATCACCACATGATCAACTCCAAGCTAACGGATGATGTGCACCACGAAAAGGAGGCCAAGGATGAGCACACGCCCGAGCAGTTGGCCCTCATGCAGACCCAGGATCTCAAGTACGTGCTGATGAAGCTAACTGTGGAGCGGCGCAAGCTGGAGCGGCTGCGCGCCACGCTCGTCGATGTGGATGCCGCGTCCGGGCAAAACAAGCGCTACACCTTCGACGAGCAGGGCCTCCCACGGCCAGCGGTAACGGCCACGTTGGGCGAGCGTCTCGAATCGGCAGATAATCCCGTAAGTGCCATCCCGTTTATGCTTTATATAGATCCATAATTGAACCATTCCTTTCTCCAGGACACGGGCAGCCGCACTCACAGGCAGCAGCTGCTCAGCGAGCTGAAGAAACGCGAGCAGCGCGAACGCGAGCTCAGCATTGTTAAGCAGAAGCTGGAGATGAAGCGCGCCATTAAGCAGCCACGCCTACTCAAGCCCAAAAGGGTGCAGCCAGGCACCAAGGAGAGCGCGCCCGTCTATGTGTTCCCCTACGAGCGCAAGAAATGAAATCTGCCAAATCGAAAACAGCCTCTTAGTCCATACATATATAGATATATAGATATTATTTAAAAAGCAGAAATAAACCCCGCTTGTATAGTATTAGAAGAGTGTGTATTGTAAATATCAGTTGCCATATATATCTAGAGGGGTAATAGCATACCTGATCTGATCCCTTATAGCTGTGCCAGAACTGAACTCCATATATATATAGAATGGGTTTATGGCTGCTTTTTCAGCTTATGCACATAACGTTGGTATCACTTTTTGAGCACTTCGAGTGTATGATTCTTTCTTAATTATTTCGGCTTTTAGTTCATTTCACCTTTGTGGAAGTAATCCTGCGGAGCAACCGATTCCTGGGCTGCTGAAACTGCTCTGTAAAGGTCTTCTCGTTTGTAACATGGCTGTTAACTGTTAACATTAGTAAAGATTTGAACCGGTTGCTGTTTGAACTGACTTACGATATTCACGCAATTGACTTTTAGCTTAAACCAGCAGATGGCGCACTTGTGAAAAGAAACAAATTTCATAGATTAAAAACAGATCTTGCAATATGCATAGGAAAAAGGGGAGGTGGGCGGTTGGACTTAAGAACATATTAATAGTTTAGTAACAAGCTTACAACTTAAGGCTAATCGAAAAATATAAAATAAAAACACAACTCAAATATCTGCGGCTTTTTTTTTAAATAAAAAAACTTTATTTCATGAAGAGGTTCGAAAACTTAAAAATATCTCAGTGCTTTTTTTTAAATATTTTATAGAGGATTCTTTTGATTGAAAGCATTGTATGAAGAACTTTGATAAGGTTCGACTTTTTGATATGGCTTAGTAAAAATATGCCACCTGCCTAAAGTTCTAATTGAATTTTTGAATATAAACAAAAACTTAAATCAAAGCAGTTCACTAAAACCGGGGCGAACCAGCAGACGAACCGGAAACCGAATCATAAACGGAACCAGAAAACGAGCGATTATAAACTGAAACAGAAAAGAAAACGAACCAGAAACCATAAACCGAACCGGAAAATGAGCCAGAAAACGAACCACAAACAGAACCATAAACCGAACCAAAAAAAAAGAAACAAAAAACGAACCATAAATCGAAAAAGAAACCGAACTGAGGCATGTTTGTATTCACAAATGTTTTGGTTAACAATTTCAAAGGGGATTCTATGAGGCTCTAAGATTTGAACCTGCATTTACCGCCAGGTTAACGAGTCGAGCTTTAAAGCAGGGCGCTGGTTCGAACCACGGGCCATTTGGTTTGCTTTGCAGCCCTGGTTGAGCACTTGCCTTGGAAGATATTTCGGGTTTATTCGCCAATAAGCTGTCTTTAGGGCGTGGCTATAACTGTATTATCCGTGCGACAGCCCTGATCCGTGGCCTTAGCCTGCACTCGAAGGCTGCAGCCGGAGCGGAGCAGTTGCTGCGCCGTGCGGTTAAGGCCCAAGGCCCAAGGCCCGAGCCCAGCGCCTGGCAGCCGCCCGGGCTGAGCCCAGTTTCGAATTACAAACCCAATTGCAGCTAGTTAAAAGAGATTTATATTTTCTGATGCGTACGTTTTTGGGGTTTGCCGTAATTTTATTTTCATTCTGGTTTTTTTTTTGTTTTGTTGAGCCTGATTTTGATGCTGGTTCTGACAATTGGCCTTTGTGTGCGCGGGGCGCAACCCTCCGAGCGCGCCGCGCGATGTTGTGATGACCACATGACAAGTCCGATTAGGTGTAGAGTCTACCCCTCGCACACACCACTAGAAGCTAAAGTGTCAACACACACACACACACTCACACAGACACACACACACAGACACACACAGTCAGCAATCTATTTTATGCATAATTTGTTGTGCCGAAACGAGGTCCATCAAAATGGTGTCATATGTTTTTATGGTTTCTGCGACTCTCTCTCTCTCTCTCTCTCTCTCTCTCTCTCTCTCTCTCTCTCTATTGCCCCCTCTCTTTCTGCTTTGATTTACTCGCACTCCGTGCAATTGCAAATTTTGGCTGCCATTTGTTAGTCAGCCTGCAATTAGCTTGCAAATGAGATTTCCAGTTGCCAACTTGGCCACTTGTCTTTGGGTGTGCGTGTGTGTGTGTGTGGCGTGGGTTGCCTGGCTGGCTGCCACGCCCACATCCGCATCCGTGACACGACAGCGCTGTTGTTGCACGTGTAACACGTCGGTCACGTGTCCGCACGTGCCACCAGCCGCGATCCGTTTGCCATCCGGTTGCCCGTCTGCCCGGTTGCCCGGCTGCCCGGTTGCCTGGCTGCTGCGATAAGCGCAACTTCTGGCAATCGCGTGCCGCTGGGAGAGATGTCAAAGAGCAGAAAGGTAACCCGGGCACAGGGCAGCGTCAGGCATTGGGTTTCAGCAGCTCGACGCTCTGACGCTCTCCGCTATCTTGATTTAGCCAAGCGCCCTGGCTCATGCTTCTGGCTGGATGGGACAACGGGGCGGTTGATGTCGCGGCGTCAACTGCAGACTCCGGCTTCGGTGACAGCTTCAGCAACAGCAACAGCAACAGCACGAGGAACAGCCTCTGAATCGATGGCTTTGTTAGCGTAAATATCTTAATTCGCCGCTTCACCGCCCTCGACACGCGTTAATCGTGTGCTTTTGACATGAGAATTTTTAAATGAAATGCGACAGCCCAAAGCTGAGAACAAAGCAACCAAAAACCCAACAATTTCTCACACCGAACACACATTTTGGCATTGGGAATACAAGACATCGCGCACATCAACTGGTTTATACGATATAAATATATGAATAGCTTAGGTGTGCGGAGTGCGTGTGTGTGTGTGTGTGTGTGTGTGTGTGTGTGTGTGTGTGTGTGTGTGTATGTGAGGGGGGGGGGGGGGAGAGACTAACAGAATATGTCAGTTATGGGACATGAATTATAATTATAATAATAATATCATTATTAATAATATTATTATTAATAACAATGATAACATAAATAATAATAATAATATTATTAAGAATAATGGTAATAGTAATATTCGTAATAGTAATATTATTAATAATAACGATAATAATAATATTCATATTAATCATTATAATAATAATAATAATAATATTAATACTATTGATAATAATAGAACAAATATTTATTTTGATTATTTTTCATCACAATTTCAATTATTTTTATAATTTTCATTATTATCATTATTTGGAAACCTCTTTGAAAAGCGCTGGTTCTAACCCAAATAATTCTTTGTTAGTTCAATTTTATAGACAGATTCAGTTTCAAAGCATTAATAAGTTAAATTCCCATCATTGCATTCGTCGGAGCATCATTGATGAATGCCAATTTTGGGTGCATATCAAATTTTGCCCGCATTTTGCATATGAAAATATTTAAGAACTGCAATATTTTCAGTGCAACGGGCATTTAGATTAATATAATTAGTCATTTATTAAATTAAATTAATAAATGAATTTTAAAAATTGATGACAAGCCAAAGTTTAAGCTAGAAACTGAAACTCATCTTCATTTCATTTCATATTCTTATTGTTATAACCTTAAATATTTTAAACTATTTATACCCGAGTTGATTTAGCCATGTCTCTCTGTCTGTCCGTCTGTTTCTATGCGAACATATGTCGGAGACGTCCGGATCGGACCACTATATACTTAGTAAGAGAGCCATAGGAACGATCGGTCGAAAAGTAGATTCTTGCATGAAACTCTTTTTTGTATCTCAAGATACCTTGACTAAGCTCCACATCGGATCACTATATTATATAGCTGCATTGGAAGAGATCGTTCTAAAGGTCGGTCTCTTATTTGGCTTAGCATCAAGCTTAGCCTTTGCAGATCTGCAAGGAGGAAATGCCTGAAAGGGTATTAAATCTTCGGAGTGCCGGAGATATTCTCACCTTGTCGTTATTGTTGTTATTATTAATGTTGTTGCTGTTGTTTTAACCTGCAGCCCTGATCCTCGACTGGGTCTCAGCCAGCTCAGCCTGCTTCCATTTAGATTTTCATAATTTGACACTCCAAGTGACAATTGTTTCGGCTTGTTGGGCACCTGGTCGCGCCTCGCCCTCCCCCGTGGCCAAAGCACGCGCCGCTCTAACTGACCGCAGCAGCATAGAACCCGAACCCGAACTCGGCAGAAAAAAACACACACACACACAAACAGACGAGTTGCCTGGGCCATTAATATAAACGGCAACTAGAAGTCAACAGGCGCACCGGGCAAATGCTGTAAGCAAATGCCTTCGCCTCATCCTCTGCCCCATGCTCTGCCCCATCCTCTGGCGCATCCTCCGCCGCTGCCAGGCACAGTGGTGCAGCGGTGCAGTGGTGCTCGAGTGCTCGAGTGCAACCCCTTTGCGACACGTATAAAAAAGCCAAAACTTAAGCGCACTTTTGTTTTTTTTTTTCATACCTTTTCCAAATGGTTACGAATGTGCTACACATATACATATACATATATACATATATATATGTATGTGCATGTGTGTGTGTGTGAGAAATCGTACAAGTATTTTTTATTGTGCGAGTTAACTTTGAAGTGTCGCTGTTTATGGGCTGCGCAACTGGCCGTCTGTGCCCCCCTCCCTCCTTTCCTTACCACCCCCTCCCCGTCCATCTCTCTTACCCGTTCGGCAGGCTGTCTGTCAGGCAGTTTGTAACCACGACAGGCGCACAGACTAACCCCTAAATTGACCTTTAAAACTCCCAAATGCGCAATTTATCATTTCCTCACCAAAACCGTGGCAAGAACCGTGAGGGGTAGGTGCGGGCAGGGTGATGGGGAGGGGGTCAGCGGAATTGATGGGTTGATGGGCTGCTGCTGCCGCGTGTGCATGTGTGCTCGGATCTGGATTCTGACAGGAGCTGCTGCCTGCTGCCATCAATCGTTTAGAATGAAGAGACCCTGGGCACAGGCTCTGCCGCACAGGGTGGGATGGTAGCCCTAAGGAGGGAAGGGGGGTGGGTGTGTGCAGCAGGAACGCACACATTTGGCGATAGCGATAGCGATAGGCACAGTGACACGGCGACAAATCTGATATCAGATGCGTCCCGAGACGAGGCTTAAGCGCCCATAAAGCGCACACCCAC